GTTTAATCAAAAATTGTAGAGATTTTAGAGAAAGATTAACAGAAAGAGAACTTATTAAGGTTAGCGATTTTTACAAAACAGGAAGAAGATTATAAATCTTTACTTTTGAAAACAACTTTATGGATGTTATAATAATGTTGGAGAGTATTTCACTTATTTGTTTTAAACATTTAGTTCCTTATCAGAATGTTTCGTATACCTTTTAGACACATCATATTTTGAAGAGTGCACTTAGAATCATGAGATGGCCAAAACTTAGAGTTTTATCAGCGTCAAGGCGTCTGAGACACGGCCGAGTCAACAAAAACAAAACAATTAAACGAATAGCGGTGGGAGTGGGAGTGGAAGTAAAAGATACAGAGAGAGGAAGACGGAGCAAAGTGCAGCACATAACGTAAACTATTTACTGATAAGAATATAATTACACATACTGACACATATGAGAGAGATGGAGAGTGAGAGAGAGAGCCCTGAAAACGGCTGAGCAAACACTTGCAAACCCAGCGACGAGCACTCGACCGTTTGTAGATAAAGTATCTGCCAGATACTCCCGCTCTCTCCCACAGGCTCTCTCCCGCGCTCTCTCTCTTTCGCTCCCGCTCGCACTCCCACTCTCACTGGCAAGTGTTTGAATCTCGTAGATACTTTGGCCTGCCCGCCTCGGAACCCATTTCGTTTTTAATTGTTTTCAGTTTTTGAATTTAGTTGTATTTGATTTTCACGTACTCGCGCACTGTCGTCGCCGAAGTGTGCGTTATTTCAGAAGTTTCAGTTTGAAATTTGGAAGTGTTCAAGTCTCAAGTGAGTGTCGTGTCGTTAAGTGCTGGGAATCATCGCCACTGACAGTTTGTTATTTGAGAGTCCCACAAAGTGCTCCATCCCCCGCCACCCAATCCGCCCCCTAACAAAAAAAAAAAGAAAAGTGTTTCGTGCCTGGATGTTACATATACATAAGTGGCGCCCAGCCAGGGACACCCGAATGCAGATGTGTACAATGTAGATTTAAAAGGCGCTCAAGAACTGCTTAACGGGCAGCGGCACATGCAAACATCGCAGGCCTTTCAATTAGGCAACAAAAGCATAAATCTTGCGCGCTGACAATGAGATGCGGGTCGCGTGTCGTCCCCCTTAAAAGCGGGAAAACCCACCCAACTACAGTTCGAACTTCCAAACGAAATTACTCCTCAAACTTTGCTTCAAACTTCTGATGTCATGCTCTTTCTATTTCAAATTCCATATTTTGTCTGCCCATTTCTCGTTCGCCTGCAAACAAGTAGCTCACGAAATGTCATAATCACGTCATAATAACACCAGTGGCGTTGGCTCCCCGAAAGCAACCCCCCTTTGATTGATTTCTCGCGACGGAACCCCTTTTCGCATGTGTTTCCTATCTACGTCTCTGACCGACCGACCGCCTTATCGACAAACCAAAAAGTAACGAAAATAAACCTTATCGCCTTCGTCTCCGCTCGAGTGATAACTGTGAGTCGGACGGGGAGATAAGTTGGCCCTATGTATGTATGTATGTGTTCGAAGTGACTGAGTAAATGGAATATTTTTTCCGCCTCTTTTTTTTCCGTTCCACAAATAAGAACTTTAATGATAAACCGGGAAGCGAGAGCAGACTGGCAATCCCTAGCTGAAACCACAAAGGGTGAACGATTCCTTGTTTTTATGCAAAACTCTTCTCATGCTGAAAGTCCGTTTCAATTTGCTGTATAAAATGTATGCCTATGCCATAGTTAGATAACACTTTCCGTAGATATATATCCAAGTTATTTCAAGGCTCTCCTCCATTTGACCGCCCACTTTTGCCATTCGAGCGATTTTCAGATACTTGGCTTGATTATAAATCCGTCGCCGGAATATCCTTGGGCTGATTGGAGAGTGAATTTCATGCAGCAGCTGCTTCCAATTCATCACCATTAACACATTTTCGGCTTGAGTGCATCAATGACGTTTTCGCGTTCTGTGCCGCTCATGGCTTTCGTTCTAATCAACGGCATGGCGAGAGAAAAGTGTTTTGCAATCCCATTTGGCCCCAGTTTGCAGTTTTCAAGGCCGCACAAAAAGTGAAAAATGTCGAGCACTTTGCGTGCTCGCCTGCCATGTGGCTAGTGGCATGGGGCATGTGGCATGGGGCATCTCTGGGGACTTTCGGGGGCACACTTCTTCTCGGAGATTTGGGGCCAGGCTGCAGCTGAAATTTGATTGCCAGGTTGTCGCATTTATTATGCGACTTTTGTTTAGACTGACGCCATTTTGAAGCGCTAGCTCGCCTCGAGTGGGAATTCTTCTACGAATGTCAGTGGAGAAATAGCAACAACAGCCGACCGAAAAGCATTAAGTGAATTAATTGAAAAACTCAAATGCCAAGCCGAGGCGCAAAAGCAACTGGTTCTCTCAATCATCAATCGAAAACTCGTTCCACAGCACGCCGCATCTCCTGCTAAATCGATCTTTAGTTTCTTGCTTTTCGTATTTGTAGCCCCACTAATTTCTTAAGTAAATGCAAATTTGTGCGACCTACCTGTTTTGTTCTCAGTGCGCTGCGCTAACGACAGGTGCCGTGGCAGTGATTACACGGGAAGAAAATATGTGTATATTTTTTATATTGAAATAATTTCAGTACGAGATGAGTTCAATATTTGCTTTGTAGTGTGAATGGTAATTCACAAGCAATGATGACTTGAATATTTGTTTGTCATAAGCTATACTTTCATTAAAGATGACACAATATTCTTAATTCTAAAGATAGATATCTTAGCTCCACGGAAATATTTCCAAATGTTTTACTTATCAAATCGTTAAGTGGATTATCTAATTATATGCATTTTTTATTGTGTACCACAGACACTCTGAAACAAGTATCTAATAGCACGCATTATTGTGTATCTGACCGCTTGCTTAGCATTGAACGTCAGTGGCTTTTGCCATCTCTTCGATTTATTGCTCATTTTGCTTTGTGGTCGCTGCTAAGCGGCCACGAACAAAAAACAAAAACAAAGAGAAACTCATTCAATGGTCAAGGTCGCCTGCAGTCAAATCGAATAGCCACCAACACGACAAACACACAGCACACTTGAGCCCCAGCACTACCAACAGAAATAAAGTATAAAGTATAAAAATGTTTGTATAATTAAACGCCATTTTAAACAAATAAATGCGCGTTGTCTGTCGTCGCTGCAGAATTCGTTGTTTTTGTTGTTGTTGTTATTGTTGTTATTTTTGCTGGTCGCGCTTCGGTTTTTGTGTCGGCGCATTTTTAATTAGCAATGAAATCATAATAAAATAAAACATCTCATGCATAATTGAGTTGCAAGTTGGGTTTTCATTGCCGTGTTTATGAATACGAAAAAAAAAAATTAAACAAAACTGGCTCAGGTATTCATAGCCAACTAAAACTAAAACTGACTGCTTAGATTTGGGTTTTGGGTGAAGCTAATTTGAATAAACAATTCATATTGTTGGGCGAATATGAATAGCATTACCTATATGTTAGCATTAAGCTTTAAGTTTTAAAACGTATATTTAGATACAGAGATTTCTCAGGCCTTCTAACCTCATTCCTTCACGTGGGATCCCTTTTTCTTATAGGGGGCCTGCTTTCGAAACTATTTCAATGGATTCCTGCAATTCATGCTGTCGTCTGCTTTCCATCATTCCATATGTTCAACGCTCACAAAGCTTGCTTCAAACCAATCTATCTCTACCCTCATCTGCCTGCCCCGAAACGTTTTGATATGTGAATGCCGTACACAATCCACGCTTTTAGAAGACCTGCCCGGTCCACCCCCTCCGCCCCATGAAATCCCGCCCCCTCTTCCCGCCCACTCTCGCAAAATGAATTGCTCATTTTGTAAATAGCATCTTTAAGTCGAAAGAACAACAACCCAATTCAAACTCAACTCAGCTCAGTTCAAATGTTTGTACCTTCTAAATGTTGCTCACCTATGTGTGTTTACTACTCGAGAAATGCATTGCCACTCTGACAACTGTATCTATATCTACAAGTTTATTGCGAAGTACATACCTATATATTGCCTAAATGTTTACTGTATGTATGTATATTTATTATTGCTGCATAATTCACTCATAAATATTTTTTTCTTTTTCTTTTTTCATATAAACGTTTACAAAAAAAAAAAAAAAAACAAAACTCGCACATTCCACCACAAAACCACCAACAAAAATAAAACAAAATCAAAAATACCGAAATACCGAAAACGAAAACTAAATGAAATGAAAACTGAAATATAGAAGGATCGTAATAGAGTTTATGACGTTCACGAACTGTCACTGTCACTGAGAGCGATCGATAGCTGTTACTCCATGTGTGTGCATGAGTCGCAGCATCAGTAGCCCACCCAAGGACCAAGGACCTCATCCACATAGCCCATCAATCTATCAGATGCCAGTGGCGGATCCCCCCGATAAGGCATCGCATCGCATCCATCGGACAAGGACGAGGACTGCAGGACTGCAGGACTACGGGACGAAAAGGACTAAAGGACAGTGACTGACGCATCCTGCGCTCGTTTGATCGTTCGTTCGCTCGCTCGCTCGCTCTATCGCTCTTTCGCTCGCACGCACCAAGAAACCAAACAGAAATACCAGAAACAATACCAAGCAAGCCAGAAACCAAATAATACCAAGCTAAACAGACGCCTCATTACCAAACATCGAACGTTTCGTTGTCGTTTTAACTGCAAAACAACTACAAAGTAAAACCAAAAGCGAATCAAAACCGAATCAATTCAATCAAATCCAAGCCAAGCCAAGCCAAGCCAATCCAAATCAATCCAATCCAATCCAATCAAATCAAACCGAAAAGAAATACTCCAAACGAGACATAGAAACAGAACAGTAAACATTAAACAGCAACAGTAACAGAAACCCAAAGCAAAAGCAAAAGCGCAGGCTAAAGCTAAAGCTAAAGCTAAAGCAGTCATCAGTCAAAGTCGATAACCAAAACCAGCAACATTCAGTTAAAAATGGCCGAAGACGCTACCATGGAGACATGTCCAAGTCCTGAAATCGGCGACTCACGCAAAAGGCCACTCGATTCCGATCCGGAAAATGAACAAACTAAACGCTCACATTTCAGTTCCGGTAAGTTGACCAAAATCCAATCCAAATCCAAATCAAAATCAAATTCCAAATCAGATTCCAAATCAAATTTCAAATCGAATTCCAAATCAAGTTCCGAATCAAATTCAAATTCAAATTCAAATCCAAATTCAATACCAAATCGAAAATCGAATCCCAATTCATTCCGTCAGCAAAAGGAAAGAAACGGAAAATATCTCAAATCGCTATTGCATATCCCCATTATCGTGCTCCTCTCTACTCTCTCTGTCTCTATATATCTGTCTATATCTTTCTCTCGTTCGTTCGTTATCTTTCTATCTATCTATCCACTGCTCTTTATCTGCGAAGCGTATAAATATAACTCATTCAATTCAATTTGTTTGCCTAACTTTTTTGCCGATCGTGCCGTTTCCCTTCTTTGTTATATGGTCATGTTGTTGTAACTCCCCTCGATATACTATATATATATCTCTTGATATACGTACATATATACCCAGTATCTATGATTTCGTTGCTTTCTGTCGTTTGTTGTCGCTCTTGTTGTTGTTGTTGTTGCTGTTGTTTGTTAAGTTTCAATTAATCAGCACGAGAAATTCATTTGCAGTTTGCCCCCGATACGTTCGATGTCAGTTTTGCAAGCGAACACACAGATAGACTTTGATTCGTAATTAAGCCAGATATGGCGTATACGCCCCGAGGGCCCCGTGGTGCATCGCAAAAATGACAACTGGCATCTGGCATCTGGCAACTGGCTGGCGGCAGAATCTTTGCGCAGGATTTGGCGCCGAGACAGTGTGGGCCCAGTTTGACCTAATTTTCCGCAATGACCTCCAGTTTTCCGAAATCTCCTGCAGCCGCCATCAATGGCCTGCAATTAGATACAAGTACAAGTGCCTTGAGCTCACCGATTGGCATTTGAGCCTCTCCTCAGATGAGCCCAGCCAAGCTGCACTTGCCAAGACAGCTGAGTGGGTCAACAAGAAATTCATATGGAGATTAGCATTTGAAAGAAGCTCCTCCGCTCCTCCGATCCAAAGCAAAACCGATTCGATCCAATCCGATCCGTGCGGCCCATTGCCAAACCCGAGCTGTCTGTCTGACCATTAACTAGTTGCTTTGCATGATTTGCTCGGCTCAAAGCTGGCAGCCAGCTCGGAGCTCCAAGGTGAGCAGCCAGCCAGTTAGCCAGCCAGTTGGCCAGCTAGACAACGCAATCGAAGTACCTGTCGTCATAGCCACGAAAATAGCAAAAGGTGTAAATGCTAGAGTCGGTCTGTCGCCCCCGCTGGCTTTTGATATTTAGACGGATAGGAATGCCAGAAGCGTAAACACGTTTTCGAGTTTCTTAATTGCTGGAACTCGAACTCGAAGCGTGCTACTTGCTACTTCGATGATTGTCAATTGGGAAACTTGGGAACTTGGGAAAAACAGGGGGGAGGACTCAACTCATTTTCCGTTCAACTAAGCAAGCTACTTGAGCAACGTACGGACAAACAAAAATAATATCTAGAGAAAATTCAACCAAATTTAAGTGCTGTCTTGATGTTGCATCAAAATTTTTAAGTTTTTCTTCGTTCGTTGGAATGCGGAAGTTCTGTTCGAGTAAGTTCAAGTTCGTGGGTTAGGTAAATATGAATACTTTTCTCACTCCACTCATTTTTCGGCTGACGGTATTTTCGCAGCCATCAATAATTTATGGGTTAGCTTTGGTTAAGAATCGGTTTGCTCTTCGAACGATTCAGTTTTATCAGCTGTTTGCTTGGCCAGGCTCCATTCAGAAATGTTGGCATTATAGATGAGCGCAGACAAATAGATACATTACGTGTGTACAGCTGGGCATTTGTTATTAATTAGCCACCATTGAGGCTGTCTGTGTTCTCTGGACACGGAAAACAGGTCCATGTCATCTGGGCTCGGGTATTTACCCACGTCGCTTATTAGTTCTCTGGCAATTTATTTGCTTAGCTGCCTCGACAGTCATTTGTTTTGTTTATTATCTATTTAATTTTTTTCCAGCTTTTCTGGTTATTTATAGCTGTCAGAGCTAAAGTTGTCAATAGTTTGGGGAAGGGGGAGCTGAATAAAATTAGATGCTGAGACAAAAAGCAGCCTTAAATAATATTAAATTAGTTATTTTAATTTATTGGGGCTTATTCCTGGTGACAACAAATCTGGCAGAATCAAATAAAATATTTTTTTAGGTATGTAAAATACTTTTATAAACGAAAAAGTTAAAAAAAACCAATGGTTTTTTTTTTATTTCATACATTATTGTTTTGTACAACTTTTTATCAGAGGGCTTGTTTTCAATATATATAGATAGCATCACACCTTTTTTCACCTTTTTTTCGCTGGGTAACCTCGGCTAGAAATGCGTCAGTTTCTGGGGCTGCTGCAAAGGAAATGCAGTAGAATCGAGGAAAGCGAGGAAAAGCGGGGCGGTGGGTCAACGTGGCGGATTGGTGGTGCTGCTGCGTCTGGTGGTACAGGGGCTTATGTAATCAATGCTGCCAGGGCAGCTGGAGCATAGTAGGGGGTGTACTCCGTCCTTATGTGTGTGTGTGTGGCACAGAGAGAGCGAGCGAGAGAGGAAGAGAGCAGTACGGGCTGCTCTCGGAAAACGTTGACAGTGCGATGGCAAGCGGTTGACCTACTTTGATGACAATGCGGGTGCGTGCTTGTGTGTTTGTATCTGTGTGTGTGTGTGAGCCTGTGGTCGGTTGCTCTGCTGCCTCGGCTTTCCTACTTGTTTTCATGTTGATTTTTTGCTCCTAGAAAGGGTCCTGCGCAGTAGGACGAGGACTCGAACTCGAACTCGGCGACCATTCAGCTGCAGTGCAGCATTTGGCGCCATTGCAGCCGCCACAGCAGCCGCAGCATGAACGTCCTTGAGTCGCGGCTCCTGTGCAAACTGGGTTGTTTTAGCCTGGCCAGTGGTTCGGTTCGGTTGCAGCTGCAAGTGCTGCTGCTGGAATCGCTGTTGCCTGGCCAAATCTCAAGTGCGTTTATTGCCTAAGGGCTGTTCGCTCTTGCACTCTCTTTCTCCCTCTTTCTTTCATTGTTTCTCTCTTCCTCAGTTTCTCTGTTTTGGCCACAATCTGTGAACTGGTATCTCTGTGGCGTGTTTTTGGGTTACCTTATTCTTAGGTGCAGCCCATTGTTTCCTTCGGTGGCCCAAGTGGCCAGGCATTTGGTGTGACTGCACTTGTGGAGCATCTCGAGTGGCCTACTAATAACTCGAGGGCCAGGCAGTTTTGGCTTGGCATTCTTATTTGGACCCAGTGATTAGGACGAACCCGGCTTCCTTTGGCTAATTGGGTCATCGCAAGCCCTTAAATTACGCATACGCAACGTGTGCTGGTAGTAGTGCTGATAAGCTCTTGTGTAGTTATGTAATTGTGGTTGTTTGTTGTCGAAATTGTAGGAGAGTACTCATGTTCTGTGGTTACTAAAATCTTAATTGAAGAGCTAAGGATTTTGCTATTGAACCAATGCCACGACAGCTAAATCACATTCGATTTTCCAGAGCGAAGTCATTACTTTCAGTTGTCATTTATGGATCGCGGGACTAAGCTTTTGATTTGCCCATCGAACGCTATTTTATTGGAGGGCTGAAAACGTGACACGTTCACTCTTTCCGCCGCTGGCTTATCACGTTGGCTCATTCCGTATCACATGTTGCCACAGCAGTTTCTATTTTCGACACACGCCCCCCACTCGTGTCTCCGCCCCTGTTTTACTTCCTTCTCCCTCTCTCTCCCACTCTCTTTCTCTTTCTGCTGTTGTATTTTTTTTTAGTTTTGTGTTGATAATGAACCGAGTGACATGGAGTGAAGTGAGGCAATCGACGGACGGGCGGCATTAGATCATATACGAGGAGGAGACACGAACATCATCATGATCATCTGTGTGTGCTTATGATCGCTCGCACACTCTCATGACTCATGAACCTCGCTCTCTCCGTTGGTAGATTCTCCCCGTTTCCGATTCTCCGATTCTCCGGCTCTCCGGCAAAACTCTATGCTTGAGTCGCGGCTCCGTCTTCGCTTCGAATGGAATTCTTCAGTGCGGTTTGGTCACTCGTTTCGTGCGCTCGCTCGCTCGCTGTCGCTCGTTTTTTTTCGCTCGAATTCGAATTCACAGCTCCCGCGCTCCAGCCATTTTGCCAGTGATTCCCCGCCCGTAGCCCGTTGGTTTGGCTATTTTGGCCAGAGCAGCATGTTGTTTGCCCGCAGCACCAACTCTTCCACGTCACTCAGCCCGCCCGAAATGATGATGCACCACCATCAGCAGCAGAATCAGCAGCAGAATCAGCAGCAGGATCCTCAGCAAATGGGACACCAGATCCACCAAATGCAGCCGCCAGCGTTTCAGCTACAATCCTCTTTCTGTACGTGCCTCAAGTGTAATATCTGTTGTGTTGACCTTGGTAATTAGCGTGTGCATTGGTAATTATAGGGTTTATCTCATTTCGGTATTTGCCAGGAGCTTTGTTAGCTGTTTGCCATCACCTGAGCGCCGCTGCCAACGCCGCCAGCTCACAAATACACGCGAACACGTTGCGTATGCGTAATATTCCGATATTAATATTAGGCAACGCCACTAAAGCGGCAATTAACGTCTTGTCAACTGCGTTTATCTAGCTTTTCAAGGTCGCCTCTTGGTTTGTTGTTCTCTATCTCTGTATGCGAAGTATTTCTGTTTGAAAAGACACAATTTTCCAATGATATTAGCATTCGCCAAAGGCTGAAAAGCCAAAACTAAAACCGAACCAAACCAAACCCACACAGAGCAGTGTATTATTCAGTTCAATGCCAGCCATAATGATTATTCAAAAAAGCACTAAACAAACGACAACTCGAGCTGAAGTTTGACCTCACAATTCAAGCTGGGATTGGATAGAATCGAGTCGTATTGGATCGGATTGAATCGCGGCTTTATCAGTGGGTTCTCGAAATCAGTTTCGAGTTAGTTGTCCGTAATTAACTCGAGAGTCACGCTCCCTCTCCTCTCAAGTACAAGTGTTCGTACTTAGGGACATAAAAAATACAAAAAACACAACTAAATTGTTGACTTGAAATGCGGGAAGCAAACGGCGGCAAAACGACGTAACCTTGAAAAGCGATTTGAATGTGGGCAAACATGTCTCACTCTATCTTTGTGATGGTGTGCGTGCGTTTGAAAGAGCCAAAAATAAGTCAAGACACTCGTCGGTGGCCATGCCCAAAAACTGCTCAAGTTGCTCGGGCTCGGCCCAAGACGAAATAAAGACCGAAACAGAAAAAAAAGCAACGAAAACAAATAGAAATAAAAACATATTCATTCGTATATTGCCGCCGTTCCAAGCTCTGCGGGCATTTTACTTTTATTTTTCTTGGCCAGCCAGTCTTCTGGCTCTTCTTTTGCTTTTGTTGTTTGCTGTCTTGGTTGGCATTTTGGCGAAAATGTCCGAAAAATGTGTTATTTATGCGTGCCACACAAAATTCGCATTTCTACGGCTCATCCAGTTCCAACCAGCAGTAGCTTTTTCGGCCCATTGTGTAATCGGAGTTTGGCTCTGACTTGGGCCAACCAGTTGTTAATTTGGCTGCCATTTGGCAAGACTCTCGGGCAGGTGTTTTGGCTATTGGCCTGGCATTTCGTCTTCCCAAAAGCGAGAGACTTCTCAATGGCTAGCGCAATAAATCAATTCCAAGAGCCGAAAGCCGAAAGGGTTTTCGTCTGTGTGAAAGATGATCTCACGAAGGTATTCCGCGACGCCCACTTTGCATGTTTTTTACATTTTTATTTCCGTTTCTGAGTGTGAGTTGTTCGCCTGTTTTTTTTTCGCCTCCATCAAGTGGAATGACATTTATTTATCTGCGCGAGCAAGTGCTTTTTCGATTATTTGAATTTAGCCATTAATTTATATTTACCTTGCGATGATTAGTCGAAATTGCTGGGGGTAATTACAAATATTGTTTTGCTCGGTTTGGTAATCCTCATTTAATGCTTGTATGGCTCGAATGGGTAATCGGTTTGTTTGAATGGAGTCAAGGTCTTGGGGAATATTTTATTTTGTACTGGTGTTCTAGGCAGAGATATTCCCCCCTTTCCCCTCATAATTTTCAGCTTCCACCCATCATCAGCGGAGCTTATCAACGGGCTTCCGCCGCCTCATCAATTAAAATGCTTTCAATTCGCTCAATTCCATTTGACCATGATATTTGTTACAGCTTTGAAAACATCCAAACACTGTAAAGCATATTACCGTTTTTATTATCGTTTTTTTTTCTGTATTTTTTTTCTATTTTTATTTTAACCATTATCGTCCATGCATATAAATGTGCTTGTAATTATCGAAAGCCAACCATAGCGCAAATATAATTATAGATACTACACAAAATATAAAAATAAATTGATGTGCATGCCACACAGCAGAACGATAAAGTTAAAAACGAATCGAAAGCCCACAAAGTATATAAAGAAGAACATTTTCAATAATCACGAACAGTTGTTTTTGTTGTTGTCCCCACACAAAGCGTGCGATTAGCAGTAATAGCAGTAAAACTAAAGCGAGTAACTCCAAAGTCGCGTATAATTTCAACTATTCAACAGCATTCCCACAAAACCAATGAAACTCTCAACCGAACTCAACTCAAACGCAAATGTGATAAACCCAAGCAAGCAAAGCAGTTTAACGAATATGAATATGTTGTGATAAAGCTACGCAAGTAATGACTAATGTTAAATAGAAAAGCCGAAAGTTATTAATCAAACCGAAACGACTGAATCAAAAAGAATAAAAATAAATCAAATGCAACTCATCGCCGGACAGCAGCATCAGAATCATCTCAAAAGATCGTCAACCTGCCATCGAGCCAAGCTTCAAGTATTATAGAACCGAGTGCACCTGCAGATCGATTGCTTCGAACTCTGAACTCTGACCTCAACTCAACTCAACTCAACAGCTGAATGGTAAAGCCTTGGGCATTGTTTTCTAAGTGTCTTCCATAGCATTTCTGGATGTTGTGTAACTATCGTCATTAACAAACGCCATCCTACATGGACATACTCTATCTATATCGCCATCGCACCAAACGTCATTCAATTTTCTCAATGTCTTTCAATGAATGTGTATTATTCCAATGCGGGGGATTAAATCATAGGATCCCATTAAAGACAGAGGCTGCCAATTGCAATGCCAAACCATCCAATCCAATTCAATTCAATGCAAAACAAACCAAACCAAACCAAATGAATCGACAATAATCAATACCTTTGCTGAAGCTTGCTGCTGCCGCTTTCTCTGTCTCTGTCTGTTTCTCACTCCGCCTCCTTCCCACTATCTATATATACTATATATAAATCAGTCGCATCGTAATCGTTGTTGTTGTTATCGTACAAAATATATCTAACCAGAAACCATCAAGAAACCAAATCGAACAGGCCAACTGCCAAACGCCAAACGCACCAACAGAACAACACTAAAATCGCCATCCAAGAACACCAATATCTAATCAATATTCAACGTCAGCTATCGAATCAAATCGAATTAATTCAAGTCATCCGGAAGTCGAGCGACCTACTAAACCACTGCGAAGTCACCACAATCTATCAACCCGATCTATATATCTCTATATATGTAACTTACAACCACCGCATCATCATGAAGAGCATTGTCCCAAAAAAAAAAAAAAAAAAAAAAAAAAAAACTAAAAAACAATCAAAAAAAGAAAAGCAACAAATGCACTGTCCAAAGCCTTACAAACTGCCATCAAACTCGATGTATCAGTAATGAATATGCAACTCAGATATTCAGAAACTCAGATTATCAGATATTCAGATATCGATGGAATGCGAGGGGGAGAGAGACAGAGCGAAGGTCCTTGCAGCGCTGGCCATCTCTTTCTCTCTCCCGCTCGCCGCCTAATCCATGCGTGTGTGTGATCACTGATCAGCAAAAGAAAAACCTATGAAAAGCCAGCCTAATTTAAACAAATTTTCCATTTCTTTTTCTTTCGTTTATTGAACAAGTTTAATGATTGGAAAGCGGCGCGTAGGTTAAAACGAAACAGAGCAACCGCCACAAAAGCTATCAAATCGCGACGAGCACACGAAAGGCAAAAATAAATTAAGATTACGATACGACAATATACAAATCTAAATATCGCATAGCGCATAAGTCAGTTGGGCATAAGGAACAGCATAAGGAACGAGTACAATCGATTCGCAAGGCCGAATCCGGCCGAATTCCGTCGCAAACCGAGGAAATCCGAAGACTGAACGGGAACGCCAAACATTTCCAATTTCCAATGGAGAGTATTATGAAGGCGGCCATGGACAGGGCGGCCGAGCAGCTGATTCAGCAGTTTGGCTTTGATTACTTGCAGCAGCAGCTGCAGCTGCAACATCAACAGCTGCAACAGCCACAGCCACAGCCACAGCAGCAACATCAACAGCTACAGCAATTGCAACAGCAACATGAGCTAGAACATGAACCAGAAAACGAACATCTCACACACCGATATCAGCAATCAAATCCCACACATGTGCAGCAATTAGCTTTCAACTATCAGCCACGACATTCCACAACAACAACAACAACAACCACGTCGTCGCCCTCATCAACACATTCGCTGGCCAGCGGCGGCAGCAGCAACAGCAGCAGCAGCAACATCAGCAACATAAGCAACATAAGCAACATCAGCAACATCGGCAGCATCTGCAACACCAGCAACATAAGCAACATCAGCAACATCAGCAGACACAGCAATCATAGCAGCGCTGCATACTCATTAGCCGTTCATAGCTACAAACAGCAAGAAAACCCGGCTAATCCCAACCATGTTCCACCTCGCCAGATGGACCAATCGCCCCTGAGTGAGAATGGTTCGCCGAATGGCGGCACGCCGGGCATCCAAACGCCGCCTGCAACAACGAGTGGCACAGCAGCAGCAGCGGCAACAGGAGCAACTGGAGCAGCAGCAGCAACACTGGCAACAGCAACACTGGCAACAGCAACATCCGGCAGCCAGCTGCTGGGCAACTATAAGACTAACTCCTGCTGGTGTTACGGTGAGTCCGAGTCTGATTAAGAACAAACGCAATCAACATCAGCATAGAACTATCAAAGTTGCGCACAACTTCCTCTACTACACCATACATAAAATGTACACCACTTCTCTATCTATAACTATCGAGCTCGCTACAACCAACCAACCAACCAACCAGCCAACCAACCAACAACAGCATCAATCACCACGTCGCCTCATTCTAAATGCCGCCAGCCAACTTAAGAACCAAAAAAAAAAATGCCTAAACATAAAACAAAAAACAAAAAAAGCAAAAAAAGAATAGAAAAACAAGAACGCCCAAATGTCAAACGAACCGAACGCCGAACAAGAAGCCACAAGCTATAAATGAATTGTCCATTAACATTGCGTTGAAAGTTTTGAAAGAAAATAATCCAAACATCACCAACATCCAGCACACATTCCGATACACAAAGTTAAACCAACAAACACTCATAGAAAACTCAGCAGCAAAAAAAAAAAAAAGAAACAGAAACAACCAACCAGCAAAAAACAAAAAAAAAAAAAAATACAGCCACAATCGACTATATAAAAATCTCATATGCTAATCGTACGCTTTAATGTGGGCGTCCATTTTAATTTTGAATATGCCTTAAAATATTATGTCTTATGTATAACACGACTTTCCTTCAGATTGCCCTAGTGATTCATGGGTGTTGCATAAAGATTTACGCTCGCATTTTGCCACAGCGCGTGTTTGATGGCATAGTTACGTCCGAAATAAGTTTGGAAAATTTAATTCAGTTTTTATGATATTAGTTTGGATTATGGTGGCTTGCTCAGCAAACTTTAAAGAGTGTTGGGCGCCATCTAATCGATTCAATTTGATATGCCTGATCAAAAACATAATTGGGTAAAGTCTTCAAAAGTAAAAGTAATTAACTTGTGATTACAACATTTTTTTAATAATTTAAATAGTTACTAAAACTACATTTTTTTTATTTTAAATTTGCTTTTTAAAGAGCACTTCCTGGTGCAGAAAAGCAAACAAAGTTGTCCCTGCTCGGGGATCCAATCATTAAATAGCGTGTCGTGTGTCCCCGCATTACGCATACGTCGCGTGGTACGCGACAAGCACTTGCTGCTCGGGCTTTGCTTTAACAATTTGCGTGTTGCAGATTGTTCCGTGGCATTTATTGTGGTTTGGGGTCGGGATGGCAGTAGCTGTGTGCCAGCTTGTCGTTAGCCTAGTTTCGCATCCAATCCTGCACACAATGCATACGAAATTAGTCTCCAGTCTGCCCGGCTTGCCATCCTGCAACCTCCGGCCTGGCTGGCGAGGCCACGCCCACTTGCAGCTCGATGGGCGGTCTGCTGCAAGTGTTATTTATGACAGTCACATAATTTAAGCTGCTGCACAGTGTCAACAGCAACGAGGAGACGACGACGCAGCTTCGCAGCGTTCTTGGCCAGTCCTTTGTGGGCCATAAAACGCTAAGCAAATGGCCAACTCTGTTGTTTCTTTCCGTGCATATTATTTACCCTGCGGCTCCTCCTTATTTACGAGCATTTTCTTCGCCCGTTAAATTTATTGTTTTTCGGGGCATACTATATGGGAATGTTAGGTATTTGCACTCTACGCTTGCGGATAAATGATAGATAGATGACAGATGCGTCCGGCGCACTTTCAATTATTTCTGCGGCGGAAATTGGCCAGCATGGTGCTAAATATCTGCCCGTTGTGAATTCTTTGCGAATCGCATTTTCACACATGCATGCAAAGCGGGGCAAATGGTCCGATACTCTGTGCCCCGAACCCTGCCACAATGTCAGTGCATCGCAGATACGATGATACGAGTGTGTATCGTGTGTGTGCGCTGTATCTAATTAGAGAAATACTTTTGAAGGACACTCTGCCGCTGAGTGGCAACGAGACCAAGACGACGACGACGACGTCGACAACGTATGGCACACATTTCACCCATCGAAGGGGGTTTAGTTCAGGGGGAGGGTTCTTTCAGGGGGAAAGCAGTGGCTAAATTTAAACAAACCGAGTGCCAAGTGGCAGCGACAAAAGCAACGTCTTGGGCTGCCTCAAGTCGCCAAGTCACCAAGTCGCCAAGTTGCACGGTGGCAGGCAGTCAGGTGCAACGCGCTTAGATCATTCCATTCTATGCTGTTCTATTCCATCGCTCTTGTTTTTGTGTTCGCTTGTGTAATAGAGCGTCTCCGCTTGACACATTTTATTAATTGAAATTTGTTTGTTTACTGCCGTCGACCGTCGACCGTCGACCGTCGACCGTCGGCTGTCGGCAGTCGGGCGACTTGAGGCGACTTGTGTGACGCAGATGATATCACTCATGCGCCGGGAGGTCCCACCGCATCCACTGCATCTACTGCATCCACGATCCGCCACATTCACCTCATCTAGCCGTGTAATGCATGCCTTTCAGCTTTTCAGCTGGCGCCTTCAAATCCCCACTTATAATCATTGTTTCTCCCCTCTTCTCCTTTCGTTTCAGGTGAGTCAGTTTGTTCTGGAATTGAGGTTGAAATTGAAAATAATAACAATAATCATATTCATCATGGTAAGCTTTGTCACACTTTCATTAAATACCATTAAATCCATCTTTGTCTAGCCAAAAAAGATCGACTAATTCCAGATTAATACCGACTAAAGAGTAGCTCGTATCGTACTACATATTTTTTTTCTGTATCTGTAACCATATTGCTGTCTGTTTTTATTACGCTGACGAAAGCGCGCTTTTGAGCCTGACTTGGACGGAATTGGTGACCCAATGGACAAACGGACCAACGAGAGCACATTAACCTTCGACCCTTTGACCGACTTTTGCTTTGACTTACATTTTTCCACAAATTATTCGTATTTATTTCGTTTTGCTTCGCGGGTTGCCCAAGCGGGCAGAGTAGATGGTAATTCACTGGGGTTTTTTCATTTTTTGTTTTTTGTTTTTTTTTTTTTGGCCAAGCCAACGACCTTCGGAGGAGGAGGAGGAGAAGTAGTGGGTCTCTCATGTGTTTCGTGTGTCGCCAGCATTGTCTGTTCCATCTCATCTCGAGCGCATATCTCCTCACGGCTTGCCCACCACCAAAAATTTTAATAATACTACAGAAACAGTAATAGAAACAGAAACAAAAACAAAAACCAAAACCAAAACAGACCACAGTCGAACACCTCGCCTGCACCACCATAACCAATCCATGCCCACACAGCAGTAAGCCATGCTAAAACCACTAAACCGAAACCAAATCGAAGTCTCTGTCTCGAGCCGAAAGCCGAAAACCATAACCACATCCATATACTCGTATAACCAAACTAACCGAGTTCAGGCCGAACTCCTCGAACGCCCCTCGTTGCGAGCGTCCAGCCGAACGAACAAACCAAACGATCGACGCTGAAATGCTGTTATTATTTTTAATTTGTAACCTGCCGAGAATGAGCTAGAAACTAGATCTAACCAAACAATAACCAGATTGATAACTAGATTCGAGTGCAGCAGCCAAGGGCACACAGACTAACCAACCAACCAACCGCCAGTACAAGAACCCCTTAACCCTTTAACCAGTAACCCTTGACCTCTAATTTAAAAATCGAATAGATAACCCGAACCCACAGAGAATCCCACGAGACTAATCCATTGGTCGCCCTGTGAACTCCTCTCGATTTTTGTGCTTTCAGGCGAGACAACGTATCACATGAAAATACTGGTGCCCGCGGTGGCCTCCGGGGCCATCATTGGCAAAGGGGGCGAGACGATCGCCTCCCTGCAAAAGGACACGGGTGCTAGGGTCAAGATGTCCAAGTCCCATGACTTCTACCCAGGTGAGTAGCGCATCCCCTTTTACTTCGAAATCTTTTTGATTAATAAAGGGTATAATCCTCAATCCTTAGGCACCACTGAACGCGTCTGCCTGATCACTGGCTCCACGGAGGCCATCATGGTCGTTCTGGAGTTCATCATGGACAAGATCCGCGAGAAGCCCGACCTGACCAACAAGATCGTCGACGCCGAGTCAAAACAGACTCAGGAGCGGGACAAGCAGGTCAAGATCCTGGTGCCCAACTCCACGGCTGGCATGATCATCGGCAAGGGCGGCGCCTTCATCAAACAGATCAAGGAGGAGAGCGGCTCCTACGTCCAGATCTCGCAGAAACCGAAGGATGTCTCGCTGCAGGAGCGCTGCATCACAATAATCGGCGACAAGGAGAACAACAAGAACGCCTGCAAGATGATCCTCTCGAAGATCGTCGAGGATCCCCAGTCGGGCACCTGCCTGAACGTCTCCTATGCGGACGTCAGCGGGCCGGTGGCCAACTTCAATCCGACCGGCTCCCCGTACGCCACCAACCAGAATGCCATCAACTCGAGCACCGCCTCGCTCAACTCCACGCTGGGCACCACGATCGGCGGTGCCAGCTCGGCGGCCAGCCTGCTAGTCAACGGCACGGGCATCAACTTGTCCATCAACCTGGGCTCCCCCAACCCGGCGCCCAATCTAGCGGTTGCCACGCAGCTCCTCGAGCACATTAAGGTTAGAATCTCTTACTAAATAATGAGCAAAAGTTCTCTTTTGGTTATCTCTTTTGTCAGGGTTTATGGGTTCATTCATTAAAATGATTGGTAAATTGAAAGGATTTTATTTGAATTAGTAAATATATTCAAGTAGCGTAGCTATACTTTCTTTTATCACTGAAATTCCATTTGTTGAATTAGTAAATTTACCTCAATCACAAAGAGATTTAACCGAAAAGGGACTTTGTTCTAGTGCATACATGGCGTATACTTGATGTGGTTTTTCTTCTTTCCCTCACAGGTTGCCATGCGCGGTTCTGGATACTCGGAGACCGCCACGAACGAGGTGGTCTCCGCTTTGGGCGTCCTGGCCAAGTTCGGCGTCTTGGGGATGGGAGTGGGCGTGCCGCACACCAACGGCGCCCACTCGACGCTGGGCAACTTCCTCGGGGTGACGGCGCTGGACCAGCAGACCGCGGCCGCCGCATCCGCCGCTACCGCCAGCAATGTGTTCGGTGCCGTCGGCCAGGTGAACCTGGAGCAGTACGCCGCCGCAGCGGCCGCTGCAGCTGCCGCCAGCCGGCCGACGCAGTCGCAACTGGACGCTGCCGCGGTGCAATTCGATCCATTCCGCCACTTGGGCTCGGCCACGGCGCCGGGCGCCACGCCCGTCTCGCTGAACAACAACAGCTTCGGGCTGACGGCAGCCACGGGAACGGCGACCACGGCGCAGCTGGGCGGACTCAGCAAGAGCCCCACTCCGGGCGACCTCAGCTCCAAGGACTCGAAGAACGTCGAGGTCCCGGAAGTGATTATCGGCGCTATTCTAGGTGCGCGTCCCTACTATTATCCCTACTAAACAAAAAAAATTGCAGAAAAAAAAAAAAAAAAAAACAGAAAAGAAAAGAAACCAACCAACAGTGAAGCAACCACACCGCAATTTTCTTTACCCCCAATCCCACTTCCCCAGTTGACCCCTAGCACCTGTTAAAATACTGGAGTAGCAGAGTTAATATAATCCCATCCAGATCCGCTTTCCATTTTTGTTTAGCCCTAGAGAGATATTAGCCAAGCAGACACAGGCATTCATTCCAAAACTCATTCCAGATTCAATAGAGAGTTGAACCATTCAGACGCATTCAGACATTCCGTTAGACATTCGCAAACACACAGAGGTTTTCCTATTAAATCCATTGAAACTTATAGCGAAATTTCTAGTCAAGTTCTTGCCTCTCACCCATCTGATTCCACACGATCCATAAACCTTAAATACCTTCGATCGATTCCACCAGAAAAATGAACCCCCGGAAACCCACTGAAACCCCACTGAAAATTCGCACAGAAGAGCAGCATCCGTTAGCGTAAGAGATCAGCAGTAGTAGCTTTAGCAGTTAGCAGTTAGGTTGTAGGTTGAACCACCCATTCACTTTCCATTTTTGTCTATGATTAACGAATTTGTTTCGATATACTTATACGTGTAGCTGGGCGCTCAGTTTGGCCCAGTTGGCTAGTGCAATTATTGGGTAACCATGCGTGAAATATTATTACTTTGTTGGATTTACATTCGTTGTTGCGCAGTTAATTTTACCTCAGTGTCAGTAAGTGTAAGGTCGTTAGGTCATTAGGTTATTAGGCACCCTGACCCTTCCGCAGCATATTGACCCTCGTTCTTTGGTTTGTTTTTAATTTTTATTAATCGTTGGCGTCCCTAACACCCTACTACGCTATGAATGCCCACACCCACTATATAATATATATCTATACATATAATACAAATATTTTACCCACATATATTACCCATACTATCATTTAATATCTTGAAAAATATTTAACATAAATCTGATGCAAATATTCCAGGTCCGAACGGTCGTAGTTTAGTTGAAATTCAACATGTTTCTGGCGCAAATGTGCAAATTTCCAAAAAGGGCATATTCGCACCTGGCACTAGAAATCGCATTGTAACCATAACTGGTCAGCCGAGTGCCATTGCCAAAGCGCAATATCTAATTGAACAGAAAATCAGCGAGGAGGAGACAAAGAGGGCGCGACAAATTCCATTAACCACTGTTGTGAATTAAACAAAAAAAAATCCGAGTTAAGCAACCAACCAGCAATCTTAACAGAACAACAACAACAAACAAACAGGCAAAAAGCAAAACAACAACAACCAAACTACCCCTGAAACACCATCTAAAAAAAGAAAGAAAAGTTTTTCGTCTAAAATTTGTTAATTTCCTAAAAGAAAAAGAATATGAAAAACTAAAACCCGAAACTAAATATAATATGAGAAGGGATAACAAAGAAAAAAGGAAACACCAATTGTTATGCGTGCAGCTAAGATTTAAGCAATTAAAAGTAATAATTATGTATTGCAAAACCCGTACACTTTTTGAGTAAACTGTTCCAAGGCCTTCACCTCAAGAGATTTGCTTTAACTAAAAACGCCCTTTAAGACAGAAAGAAAACGAAGTGAGAAATGAGATATGAGAAATAGTGAAATGAAAATTGTAAAATACTATGTACTACCTTCTACTATACATTGTTGCATTTGTTTGTCACGCTCGAAACGTAAAATTGAAAACAAGTTATATTGCCTATTGCCAGTTTAGAGACAAACTAGTTGCGAAAGAAAGAAAAACCGTTTGGGTTTTGTTTGTTTGTTTGTGATGCGTATGTTTGCGTTGCGTGTTTTGTTTTTGGTTTGGTTTTCCCGACCAAGCTATACGATACGATACCATATACTATACATGATGGGGCATATATACATATGTATATGTACACAGTTGTTGAGTCTTGTTTATATATTATATCTACACACATATGCCCATACATATATATATATACATATGCCACCACCCACTTACACACACCCCCCACACACCTAATTATTAGCATTATGTTGAGCTAAAACGAAAAAAAATGTGAAATGAGCGAGCGTTTTCAGTGAAAACTTCAGGTGATTCTTACCCTCGAAATAAGGTAAATATTTTACTACACCCCACAAATCAACAACAACAACAAAAACACTTGCTATTGCAACTACAACAGGCTAGTGAAAAATACTGACAATTGCTAAACAAATTTAAAAAAAATCTGAATAACTGAAAAGTGACTTTGTTGACATTTTCGTGATTTCGTTAAAGTTTTCTGTTCTATCTGTTCTCTGTTGTTGCCCCTTCCATAATTGCTTATCGCTGTTAATATATATATACCTACTATATCCACCTACGAGTCTGCAGCCCGACCTCTGTATATGAACACAGTTGATGTTGATCATGATAATGTTGTTTAGTTTTATAGACGATCCGATCTGATCCGATCGGATCGGATCGAGTGGTGTTAATGTGTTGCGCGCGCACGTGAGTCTCCTTTTGGTTTTGATTTTGTGCTCCCGATTTGTTACTCCTTATATCTTTTGTTTTATATATATTATTTATGAAAAAACACATTGCGATTTGTTAGTTGCCAGTCTGAGAACTGCACCCCTTACTTTTTTTTTGTCATTTTGCGTTTGTTAACCACATCTTTGGTAAATTTAGCACATTTGTTTCTTACATTCTAATTTTAAGTCTTACATTTTCTCTCACCTAATGCATCACAAGTATCTTAAAGACAAAAACAAGAAAACATATGAAAAACCTTAGCAAAACAGACACAGATTCTTTGTAAAATATTCACATTAAAGCATTCATTTAGGGGTTTCTTCATTCGTCGAAACAGACAATCCACCAAACAATTTCCCTTGTTAACTTTAAGTATTGTGCAATTGTTAAACATTATTTCAACGAACATTTCACGACGATTGTATGTACATATCTATCTAGAAACGCAGTGTAAAGACAAAAGATGTTAACATCACATTTGAAAATTTCCCAATTCATATATACACACGAACACAACACAACACACACACACAAGGACAAAAGTACCCATACGAACACCACTCACCTACAGAGAGAGAAATGCCTTACTTGTAATGAAATTTTTCTTATTTACTTTATTCCTTACACATATAATTTAGTTTAACACTTCTTTTCGATTAATAAACAAAGATGAAACGAAATTTAAATAAAATTTGATTACAAAAACAACAATAAAAACCTGCAACGTTTATTTCGTGTTTAATTTGGAGCGCCCTGCGCACCACCACCTTCGCCATTTGCCAACCACCCATCCACCCAACCACCCACAAGCGCCGCACCACCACTAACCCAACCAAACCAGACTCCCCCAATCCAAAATCAGTCTACAACATTATCATGACCAATCAAACCAAAACCAAAATCAACTCAATCAGCCAGTCAGTCCAGGCTTCAGTCAATCAGCCAATCAGTCAACCACTTTTTTGCTCAGTTCGATTTCAATTTCAATTTCAATTTCGATCCAATCACTGAAAACGCTCATCACCGTAGTGAAATAATGAAATGGATAAACAAACAAACCACAACGGCAACCAATCCTAAGCTAAGTCTATATATTTAAGTTACAAGTTGTTCTTATTAATTTTTGCTATTATTGTTAAAACTTACCTACAATTGTTCTTATTTGTGCAATATTTATATAATACGATTAAAATACAAAATCAAATGAATGGAAAACACAAGATAATTATAAACAAAAAAACAAAACAAAACGAAAAGAGGATCTGTAAGCAAACTAATGAGAAATATGGAAACAAAATGAGAGTAAATTTGAAAGTACAGTCGTAAATGCTAGTGTGCCTTGAAATATGCATTAACATCCAAAAAAGAAAACAAAACGAAAACGTAAGGGGAATGAATAAGGATAACGATGTTGGTGTTTTATTTAGACCTATTATTTTATGAGTATCATAAAGAAAAAGAGCCCAGAGATCGAGACAGTTTGAGAAGTACATACATGCAATAGACCGTCTAAGAACAGCAGAATTCCACAGTAAACAACTTTGAAACGTAGCTTAACGAACAACAACAGCCAAAATCACAACAAGCATAAGAACACAGATCCCCCTTCGTCCACCCCACAAAAACCAGTCAACCAATCAGCCAATCAGTCAACCAATCAACCAAAATCAACCTACCAATCCAACAACAAACGAACATTTATTTCGACTTCTTCGCCTTGCGTCAGATCGATCGATCCCCCGGAATCGAAGCACTATATGCCCTATGCCCTATCTATCGCAGACACAGACACTGACTCACAATCCCCACATACACACATGAAACACACACATGAATGCACACCTGACAAACACACACCTGAGACACCTCTCCCATACATTCACACATTCGTACTAAATATCAGTATCACTTTGCGCGTGCTCACTGAGTTATGTTTAATGTATGAGTTTTATATGATATCTAAACATAGTAGAGGAAGGAAGAAGAAATAAACACAAATATATATACTTATATTTGTACTGGATCTGTGATATGTATTTAAAAATAACAAAAAGAGAAAAACAACAAAACAAAGCAAAAATATATTTATTAAAAGGAAGTCAAACGATACTTGAAATTAATTATGAAATAATTAATTTTTTAATGAGACAACTAAGAGGAAAGAAAAGCTTTACTTGAAAAGCCAGAGAAATCAATCCCCGAAATCAAGTTCTCAATTCATCGATGCATGGACAGTCCGAAAGAGAGTCCTCGAACCCCCTTTACCCCCCTCCCCCTTCCCCCTTTTTCCCCTTCAACTTTTCCCATATGCATACGTATTCGCTGCAAAGAGGTCCTTGCCGATTCCCCCACTCCGTTAATCAGAAATGTCCGATTCGTGATCCAACAACGACAACAACCAGAACAACAACAACCTCTTCGAGGCTGAGGGGGCGTGACGAAGGGAAGATGGAGGTCAGGGGGTCACGAGCCGATCGGATGTAGGTCAGATCTGATCCTATCGGTTCGGGGATCCTGCGTCCCGCTTTCGACGTGTTTATGCTTGTTTGGATTTTATTGTTTGAATGCGTTTGTTATTTGCTGTACAAAAAAAGCTTCACGCTGACCCACAATCGAAAAAAAAGATTTGGTAAGTGGGTGGCCCTAGCACAGTCTGCCCCAAAAAACCAAGTTGCACCATTAGCTTTGTGCTCACCATCGATATACAACTGTTACTGCCATCGGCACCCACAAAGAACCCACTTATCAGGCACATTGTCATGCAACTCACCCTCTTTCGCCACCCCTCCTCCCAAAAAAACACCAACTATCCACTGCAATCATACGAAACTAGGTAACTTTGGAAGGACATTGAGTTCGCTTTAGGAGTTCAGGAGTTTTATTAAATTATTGAAAGGCATCTATAACAATAACAACCGGAAGAGGAAACGATAGATGGTAGATAAACAGGAAGAGAAAGGGAAAGAGAAAGTAATACAGCTGTTATTTCAACGACGGAGTCTATTAGTGTTAAAGTAGTAAACATAAAAGCAACTTTTATTAACTATATACATACAGTACATAAATATCTAAAGTAATTCAAATTCGACTTTGAACATTTAAAGAGAAAACAAAAACAAGAACAACAAATTAAGAAGGGAAGTGGCGGGCAGTTCGCCCTTCGAAATCCGTATGTTGCTAAAATACAAATATGTAAAGAGGAGTTCAATTTATCAATCAAATCTCGTATAGTGCATACATATATAACATACATACATAACTGCATACTTAAAGCGGAGAAGAGCGAGGGACGAGAGTAACTTTAACTATAATTTGTTATGCTTTGCCACCCACACTGTTATTAGAACAATTAAACATTACGATGCGTATGCATTCTATATATAAATGTACACACCCATAACATATTCATACATATACCTGTATGTATACCTACATTGAATATTGAATCGTAAGCGAAGACGGCAGTCGAACAGAAAGAACCTTGCTGGTTCATTGATAGGTCGAGGAATCGGAGAACTAACTGAATCATAAAGTATAACCTCATATAGCATTGTATGTATAAATCTATCGGATTGGCCGACCGGCTGCGGCTGCGGCTGCGGAGACGTTCATTCAGCAACCACAACAGAAGCATACAACATTAGTAAAATATTAAATACTATATATATACACATACACTAAAAGTATAAAAAGTAGTCGTTAGTGTGATAAATAAATCTAATATTAATTAATTCGAGCAAATAAAAGCGGTTTAACGATTGAAACAAAGAACCCAGTACCCAAAAAAAGGTCCGTGCAGGACCTCACTTTCCAAAAAAAAAAAACAAAAAAAGAGAATACCATTGAAAAGTGCAGTTCGGCACGGACCCCAAATTATTTATTTACCAGCGTTATTTCCATTTGGCACAGTTCATTTAGCACACATGGGTCTGCATCAAAAAAATATGTAAAGTAGCCGAAAAGATTTTAAACTCTCTCAAAGATCGAACGAATAGAAAGCGATGGAGGAAAGCGTAGACATAATGACGTTAAATGATCCTAGCCTAAGTCATAACTCATAAAACTGCATCACAGTCATAGTGAAGTCGTTTATAAATGAAATCTTATTCAGTGTACAAAAATAGTTAACGGCAAACAAAAAGATTATTAACTTTCGGATCGTAACAAGTAAAAAGCCGAATTTTCGCGTCTTCTTCACTTAAACACTTTCTCAAATGTCAACCAACCAACCTAAGAAGTTGCATACGTGAGTACCTTAGAAAACAGAAACAGAAACAAAAGTTACATAGAAATTACGGCCTTCACGATATCTGGCCAATATCAACAGCAACAGGTCCCCGAAAGTCCAACATTTCGCTCAACATGTAGGAGTTCTTATTTTATACAAGCGATTAGAGGTTCCAAGTAAAATAATTGATTCGATAGCATTACTTTCGAAGTCTCCGAAAGGAAACTCCTTGAAGATCCTTTCGAAACACTAGCACACACTCTTCACTCAACGTCAAATTCCGTTGCACACTATAGGAATTACGAGCAGCAGCAGAACACTTTTCGATCTCTCAATAGGTTTATAATATAGGCAGGAATTAATAAATATGATATTGACACTGATCGATGGTCATTCGAAAGCGCGGAACATTAGCAAAAGCAAACATCATGGAAACTCATTCAAAAGTAAAAGTACTAAATCTTTTATGATTTGACTGTGATAATAATAATGACAAAATGAGAAATGAAGTCGGAAGGTGTAAACAAATTAACGTATATAGAGTATTTAAATGTATGTAAATACAGTGCCGCCTAAATAGGCTAAGCAAATGTAATATTAACCTAGGTGCGAAAGAAATTATGGCTCCATAAAACAAAACAAAACCAAACAGAAGGCAAACAAATCCAGCAATTCAGTTTGCCCAAAAAACATTGTGGAGAACGTAGCGAAAGTTGTTTAAATAGCCGTAATGAGAACGAAAACACATTGCGCAGAGAAACAAGTTTTACTTATACATATTAGCAAAATATTTAAATCAATTTTAGCAAACCAAATCCCTTTCTGAGTGCAAAACGAACCCAAAATATGGGAACGTGCGAGTCCCAATTGAAGTAAACCAAATAAATGCAAATTGAAATCAACGATATTTAGTTATGCTCTATTTACAAAGTATAATCAATTGAAGTTTTTTAAAAATCAAGTAGCAAAGCAAACGATTTTATAGATTTATTCATTTAGCATTTGAAAATCGCAATGGGAAAAGATCACACATAACCACGGTAAAAGCAAGTAGGTTTTCTTTATTTCTCAATTCTCAATTTTTAATTTTACGAGGTATAGATTTGAAAAAGAAACGAAGAGAAAAACCAAACAAAATGCAAGACAAGTAACAGAAAAAAATAGTCTAGTGAAATCTTTAAACAATTAAATCAAAAGGTATCCCTACAAGAAGATTCTTTAAAGTAGCTCATTCAAGTTTTAACAATCGAAAAACATAATTTTTGCAATTAAACAAACGATAAGAAAACTTGTACAATTGCGAACGAAAAGTATGCAAACAGTTACTCCTCTCTACATACATATATATACATAGCTATATAACCCCAAGTGAATCATACTCGAAGAAAAACCAAAACCAAAACCAAGGAAGATTATAATTCAGATTGCGGCTAAAACCGAAATGGTAACGGTAAACGGCGAACTAAGGCCAACAATAAATGAAAGCTAAGCTAGGTAGGCGATCGATCGGAACCGATGTTAGATACTACGATACAGTACGGAACATGCATGTATATCGAATGTAATGGTTATGTTATGTAATGCGTCCGGCGCATCTGTATGTATGTAATAGTATTTATAGTAAAATTTGTTGAATACATATATACACACACACACACACAGAGGCAGACACAACCACAGAGAAACACTCCAACCAGGAAAGCCAATAAGTGCATACTACATACACAGAAACATTATAAAGATCCGCATCCAGGATGGAAAATTAGAAATGCAAAGTTAGGACGGTACATAAATGAATTACGTGAATTACACATTACACATTTAAGAACGATTATATAAAACTGACAAAACTAATAAAAATTATATTATAATTCAATGAAGTTTCACTTCCATTTGGTTGGGGGTCTACAAAAGTTTTTTTTATAATACCTAATATATATAAATGCTACAAGAATGTTGTTATCAATTGATTTGAATATTTCTAGAGATTTGATTATTTCTTAAGAAATTCTGGTGGACAGTCTGGCTGAGTACTGGGATGAGTAGACTTAAATGCTTCCATTTCCTGAACTTCTTGATACAAGCGAACTACGGTGGGATACGGACTCAGGTCAATCTTGTATCTGCAAAGTATGGATATAAATTTAAAGTACTTTGGGTTGATTTAATTTGGTGTTTACCTCCTTGCATTGCGAACTTGAGGCACCAGGCAAATATCGGCCATAGAGAGCTCATCTCCCACACAGAATTTACCCGCTGATTGGGAAACCACCTTCTCTAAACCTTGAAAACCTCGAATTATCCAATGCTGAGCAAACTCTAGTCCCAGATCATTGCCCAGATGCTCCTGGACCGTAATATTCTGCAGTGGTTGAATACCGGAGCAAATGAGCTCCACAATTTCACGGACCTTAGCTCTCTTTACCGGATCCTGAGGAAGAAGTGGCGGTTGAGGACGGGTTTCCTCCAAATAGTGCATTATAGCCACTGAGTCGCACAACGTATGTCCATCTATTGGTGGCTCGTCAATCAATCATTTAGTTTTCAAAGTTTGTTTTCCCATTACATACCAATTTTCAAGGACGGAACCTTTTGCATGGGATTTACTTCCCTATATTCCGAGGTATAGACATGTTCGTTGGCCGTCTTTGACAAGGAAGTGGCTTTAATATCGTAATCTATTCCCTTAAGTGCCAGTGCTATGCGAAGTCTCCAAGAACAGGAACTTGACCAAAAAGAGTACAGAACTGGCTTTGAATTTGTTGACATTTTTCGTAAAGAAACCTTGGAACCAAATGCCCCGGATAAATGCGTTACTTGCATGCCCTTGTAGGCAAACTGTCTAACTGCAGACATTTCTTTTTACTTAATTAGGATGTTTTTCCGGCAAAACGTTGCCTAAGCCTGATGCAATAAACTAGTTCTCGTTTGTAAATTGATAACGATCCCAATAAACAGATGTTCTAATTGGAGAGCTTTTCTTTTACAGGGCTATCGATACAGATATTGATTTTATAGTGCTCCTCCAAAAAGCAGGCAGTATTTTTTGTAAATGAAATGTAGAAAACTATTTTATTTGGGTAATAAAATTGATTACACGTTTATTATCAGGCAAATTGCAATAGGATTATTTTTTCGGTGGCTGTTTATTGGGATGAGTGTCTGCAAGTCCTGGTCCAAACGAACAAAGGTGGGATATGAGCTTAAGTCAGCTTTGTATCTAAAAAATGTAGTTGTATTTAAATTAAACTTCGAGTAGAAAAATCATGCTTCTCACCTCTTCTAGCATTGCCAATCTGTGGCACAAGAAAAATATCAGCCATTGTGAGCTTTCCCAATCAGCGGGTAAATTCTGTGTGGGAAATACAGAATTTACCCGCTGATTGGGAAAGCACCTTCTCCAAGCCTCTAAATCCTCGAGATATCCAATGTTGTGCCCACTCCAAACTTTTCTCCTTTCCTATACAATTTAACACGGAGCTATTTGGCAAATTATTGTGCTTGTTCATTAATAAGTCGGTTGCCTTTGCCAATATGCTTTCTCGATTGATTGAAATTGAGTATGGAAAACCAGAGGAGACATCACTGTGTCAGGCTCTTCATTTTTGTTTCCGAAGGTAGCAAGTGCACGAGGACACCGCAAACTGGGGGCATTACCCTTGATGGGAACATGTACTCGTAGTTTGGAAAGCAACATCTTACCCAAGAACAGCAGGATGAAGAGGTTGAAGGTAACGTAGCAGAAGCGCGACAGGGTGTAACCCATGTACAAACTAATTACCAAGACGCCACAGCGACTCAAAATGCTGGTCAAAGCCAGGGCCTTTCCCCTGGAAAGCAACTTGGGAGTAAAGATGGGTTTTAATAACTATAAGGACTGACTTCACCTCAGACGAGTGGGCACCAGATCTATGAGAATGGTGGCTATCAACCTGATGCTGCACAGGGGAGGATCCATCACGATTAGGAAGCTGGCCAGAATCACGTAGGGGTGCGTCACGAAGTTGAGGAGCAGGCAGCCACCAGTGGCGGCTCCTATGTAGAACAAAATCACCACTTTGCGGTTGATGCAGATCAGGAGCAGGCTGGTTACCACGAACAGGCCGAGGACAACGAAGCCTTGGATGAGTTGATCCTTCATATCCTCGTAGCTCAAGCGGCACTTTGGAGGGTTTCGTTTTGGGCTGTAGCCATCCAAGTGTTCGCAGACCGACAGGCGCTCTTCAACTTCAGAGGTGAGAATCCTGATTCGCACCATCCAAATGGGCAATGCAAAGGCACTAGAATGTTATAAAATTGCTTAAACAGGGAGAAGCACCTAAGCTCAAACTCACATTCCACACAGAGAAAAGATGATGAAGGAGAAAATACCCATGAATTTGGCGTACGTGACCAGGAGAGTCTTGGTGTCATGGCACCGCCCATAAGTCATTGACCTAAAAAGCAAAAGGAAATCAAAGTACAGACTGGAAATCAAAGGAACTGGGTCACAGGTGATCCCTACGGGTTGAGCAGACGGGGCTGAGTGAGGGACTTCACCCCCAAGCTGTTCAGGGTCGCATCTTTGCCCTTGTTCATCCGGCAGACCCTCTCCATGACCCGCAAGGCCCTCTCCTGATCGCCGATCGACAGAAAATACTTGGGCGACTCCGGCAGGCAGAGCAGGATGCCCAGGCCGAGGAGTCCAGGTATCTGGTTGCACAGCAGCAGGATGCGCCACCCTTGGACGGGATCAGTTTCCAGGGGCAGCAGGACTCCCGCCAGCGCTAGCGAAGGGATAAGCCTGAGGAAGGGGTTTACTCTACGTATTGCTCCGATTCTTACTCGCCACGTAGATGATGCTCAGCCCCAAGGAGTAGCTCATGATGTTGAGCACCCGGGGACGCAAGGATACCTTGGTGAACTCGCTCAGGTAGGTCATGAGGGCGACCACCAACGCCGAGACACTTAGGGGAGGAATGAACGAATTAATGAACGATCGAATGGACAAATGAATAAATGATGAATGAACGAATGAATGAACGAATTAATAAGCGATCGAATAAACAAATGAATGTACAAAAGAATAAACGATAAATTAACCAATGAATGAATGAATGAATGAACGAATGAATGAACGAATTAATGAACAAATGAATGGAAGTTAAGAATGAACACGGAAAGTGCGCGAAAGTACTCACAAGAACCCAGCCAAAGAGCGGACGACAAGAAAGGACCAGTACTCCGGCATGCAGGCGGACAGAATGGAGAGCATTATAGAGGTGAGGCCCGCGCACATGATGATCCTCCGCCTCCCGAATCTGTCCGCCAGTTCGCCCCACATCAAGCAGGTTAGCATTTGGGCGGCAAAGTTGGTCGCCATCAGCCAGGAGATCCGCTCGTCGTCGAGCTCCAGCTCGCAGTTCGCCCCGGCGACCACCACCGCGAACCCCAGCTGCTCGTTAGTGAGCCACAGCTGCACGAGGAGGCAGGCAGACAGCACGAAGTACTGCATCCTGCCGAATCCTGTCGAATGACCACTGGGATCAGGCGGTGCCAATAAGCTCGCCCATGGGCACGACTCACCCAGCATGGCGAACACATCGTCTATGTCACTCATCTGGTAAAGTTCTACACTTTGATATGTTATAAAAAACAAAAAAAAAAAAAGAACTAGGCCTAACACATAAATATGGATTGCTTAGAAATATAAAGCCATTTCATGTGATTATACAATTGATTACACGTTTATTATCAGTTATAAATGCAATACGAACACATTCCACTTTTGAATGTTTTACGGTTTGATTATTTTTCGGCAAATTTCGGTGGACAGTCCGGCTGTTTATTGGGATGGGTGTTTTTAACTACATCCAGTTTCTGTAGATCCTGGTCCAAACGAACAATGGTGGGATATGGACTTAAGTCAGCTTTGTACCTAAAAGTTGATTTAAAAATTAAATGAAATTAAATTTGAAGGAAGTAGAATCACGATCCTCACCTTCTGGCATTGCCAACCTGTGGCACAAGGAAAATATCAGCCATTGTGAGCTCATCTCCCACACAGAATTTACCCGCAGATTGGGACAGCACCTTCTCCAAACCTCTGAATCCTCGAGATATCCAATGCTGTGCCCACTCCAGGCTTTTCTCCTTGCCTACATAATTTAACACGGAGCTATTTTGCAGTGGCTGAATTCCCGAGCTAATGAGCTCCACAATTTCGCGGACCTTTGCTCTTTTTACTGGATCTTGAGGTAGAAGTGCAGGTTGGGGACGCGTTTCCTCCAGATAGTGCATTATAGCCACCGAATCGCATAATGTATGCCCATCTTTTGGAGCATTAATAAAATATTTTTAGTTTTGATATTACTTTTTTTTACTTACCAATCTGCAACGAGGGAACCTTTTGCATAGGATTTACTTCTCTATATTCTTCGGTGTAGGCATTTTCGCTGACTGTACTCAGTAAAGAAGTGGGTTTAATATCGTACTCTATTTTCTTTACTGCAAGTGCAATGCGAACTCTCCAGGAACACGAACTTGGCCAGTAGGAATACAGTAAAGGCTTCGTGTTTGTTGACATATTGCGCACAGAACTTGATGTCTTAAATAGTCTATATAATTTGTCCAAATTAAAGCCTTTTTGGGCCAGCTGTCTAACTGCTGCCATATACTTGCTTTTTGTATTAAGTAACACAATTTATATGTCTAATGAAGAAACCTGTTTACCTTTGCAAATTAATAACATTCGAATGTCCAGCTGTTCTGATTGGAGAAACTATCGATTAAAATGGCACTAATTATATGGTTTTCCCAAAAGTAGACCACACTTGTTGTAAAAACTGTGTAGAATGCTAATGTTTGTTGATTTGTATCTTCAAAATAGTTTTTGAGAAATTTTTAAAAATTAATTTGTTAAAAATCTATCAACTTTTTCTTAAGCTTATTAAAATTGTGCACCATTCGATAAATTAAAAGTCAATGTCTTAGCAAAGTTTTAGTTTAGTTTGAAGTTTATTTATAGTATATGGAACTGTTACAATATTTCGGAAATTATGGATATTAGTTGGTTTGTATTCAATTTGGTATTCGTTCGGTATGCGAAAATGCGCAGCTCGTCCTATATATATATGTGTATATATTTGTATGATGTGACTATCGGCGTTTGTCCTCCGAATCGTGCATTGTACTGTCATGCAGGATAGTAGTTTTACTTGGCATCGGCAGGCTTAATTCTAGTCGTACGGGGTTGTGAAGAGATTCTCACGATCCAATTTACATCAACTTGCTAATAAAATAGTGTGCACTTAATGGGTTGGCTTTGTCATTCGTCTATGTGCATTGCGTTGAGAGAAATACTTGGTTAGTTATGCTTTCGTGGTACCAAAGAGGCATTGCGACATAAGAACCATCAAATCTTTGAAGTTCTCGTAAGTTACTTAGGATTTACTCGATTTTGTGTATAGTTTGTCGGTTAGTTTACTTATTGGTTGACTGAAGTTTTGTACTTTGTGAACGATTCGTTTAGCGTTTGCCAACTTTGACATGAAGTACTTATACATACATCAAATATATTTTTGTAAATTTTAGATAGTGTTTGGTTTTTGTTTTAAATCCCTGAATTGAATTTTGCTTTTCGTCATGAGTTTCCTTGAATTTGTTATGTTTTGTTAGCCTAAATAAAATGCATAAAAATAAGTTACATTTAATATATATGTTATGAGTTCATCTTTTAGATCATGTTCACAATGACAAACTAAGGGAATCTGAAGAATTTATTAATTAAGTTTCTATACGTTTCTGAGAATTTTGCATTTGAATTTCGTGCTGGAATTTCGTTATGTTATCGATAGTATTTTTATGCATTTATGCATATTTAAATGCTGTTAGCAATTTCTTAAATCACATCCGACTGTTTCTGCTTAATGGAATCCCCGCCAGCTTCGCCCTCCGATCTTCTCATCTATCCAATCCCTTCCATCCGTCCAATCTGTCCAATTCTCCTCCACCATCCGCCTGCCCACCGATCAGATTTATGTTCTTAGTTTGTCCTGTGCCTGGATTACGAACTGCAATTCACTTTTTCGTCTTACGGCGCTTTGCAGTTGTCGTCGGGAAATTCTATTTGTTGGGCAGCTCCGGCGGACAGTCCGGTTGATTGGAGGGGTGGGCCGCCCGGAACGCTGGATTGCTCTCCAGTTCGCGGTCGATGCGCAGTATGATGGGATACGGACGCAAGTCCACGTGGAATCTGTTAAAAGTATATAGTTTATAAATTGGTGCAAGAACTAGCTTTGGGAATTTTCCAAATATTTGTAAACCATTATAGAACTTGTTTTAGAGTTCTGTTTGTAACATGTTGAAGATGTAAATCGTACTCACCTTCGGGCATTGAACACCTGAGGTACGAGGCAGCAGTCAGCCATGGAGATCTCGTCGCCCACGCAGTACTTTCCTGCGGAGGTGGACAGTGCCTTCTCCACCGCCCGGAAGCCGCGGGTGATCCAGTGCTGGGCCCACTCCTTCTTCTTCTCCTCGCCCACGTGGATGAGCACGATGAGGTTCTGGAGGGGCTGGATGCCCGAGCAGATGATCTCGACTATCTCGCGCACCTTGGCCCGCTTGTGGACGTCCTGTGGGAGCAGGGGTCTCTGGGGACGGGTCTCCTCCAGGTAGTGCATGATGGCCACCGACTCGATAAGGGTGTGTCCATCTGGTAATTGAAATATAGGATGTAAAGAAAATTTTCTGGCGGTTCAGAGCACCTACCAATCTGGAGGGCGGGCACCTGCTCCATGGGATTCACCTCGCGGTACTCGTTGCAGTGCTGCTCCCCGCCAGACTTGATCAGGCTGATCGGCTTGATGTCGTAGGGAATCTCCTTGAGGTTCATCGCAATGCGCACGCGCCAGGAGCACGAGCTGCGCCAATACGAGTAGAGTATTGGCTGTGCGGCGGAGGAGGAGACATTGGTAGTATCGGGATTAGTAGACATTTTAGCACAACGGGCCAGCGCCGAATGGCGTGACGGGCCCACAAACTCTATTACGAAATCTATTTATTCTAATTCTGAGTAGCACAAATAGCGCAGAACAGGTTGCCCCGCCGCTGATAACGAGTTGGTTGGTTGGGAGGCACAACACAACACAACACAACGAGCGGTCAACAAAGTCTCGGCTAGTCAAACTGGTTTAATCATTTGCATTTTGTTTGCCTCCCGATAAACTAGAGCTCTCAATTACGCACTTATCGGGCAGATAACACAGATTTTAACTCGGAGGTGTGAGGCTTTCTTCTTTCTTCTTTTTTCGTTTTGGTTTTTTTCTTGTCGAGATATACCCACATGATTCATGGTGTCCGGACAGGAGCAACGCCAGCGACAGACTGACAAAAAGCACGGCGGCAAGTTCGACTTGCACCAAAAATAGCGCCCGACAACAGCTGCAGAGCAACAGTGGAGAGCTTCGGGCGGCGAAGGGGTATGGGCTAGGGGACATGGACACGGGTTCCTATGTGGCAGGACGAGCCCTAAAATGATATACAGATACACACAGCTGGCTGTTCCGGTTGGGCCAATCAGCCTATCGACACACAGAGTTCCACCCACAAGGAACCGCGCACACGGAAAGCATAATGAGTTCCCTAAAAGTTCAATGAACCCATGGGAAAGTGAGGACGATGGGGTCCGAACTGCGAGAAACGAGCGGCGAGCGGTGAGCCACGAGTTCAGAGATCCGAATCCCAAGTTCCGAGCACCGAGCTCCCGAGTCCCGAGAACTGTGTCGCACCCCAAGGTCGGCTAGGGGCATTAACCTTGTTCAAGTTGTCGTTGTCCTGAGTCCGCAGCGCGAAGGCAGCGCCAAGGACACAGGACCCCTGCTCAAGAGAAAAACTGGCTCACAAGTTTCGCCGTTCGCCTGGAGAGGGTGTGCTTTTTTTAGGGGTTGCTCGTTGAGTCGCCGAGTTGGAGTTTGAGTCAAAAGCCTAGATCAGGGTAGTCGAGTTTTGGCAAGAAGAGGGGTTCAGTTGGGTTTGGGTTCTATTATACCCCGAAATAGAAGATATGTCCCAGATGGTGAATAATATATTAATATATTAAAAAAACATTTTTAATACTTGGAGATTTTGACTGTATGAAAAATAATCTATATAAATAAAAGTAAGTGTAAGCTTTTATTTATAGATTAAATTACGAACCACTAAAAACGAAAAGCCAAGGATACACATCCTAATCAGGTAATTGTTTTTAAAACAATTTGATTGTTTCCCTTTGGTTTTCCATCAAGCTTCACTATTCCCTAGAGAGTAATATGCAATCTGTAGTACGTATATCCTTTTTCGCAACTTTACGGGACCTGACAACCCTGCCTGACAAACTTTTGCAGTGTGTACGCGAGGGAGGAAAGCTTGCCGCTGTGCGCAAAATCGAATTCTAGATCCGGTGGCGGGGTATGAGTGAAACCCAGACTAGCGCCGAAGTCAGAGATTTCTGGCCGCGTGGTATGAGTGATATTGCGGGAATGGATTTTCGCCAAATGCCAAACAAGGCGCCAATGACGCTGGACACCAAGGATGATGGGACTCGCTTACCTTTGCTATGGCCGATAAGGACATAGCGTTGTGGTGGTACTTTGAGTAGTTAATTTTGAAGCCGTTCAGTGCAGACGCACAACCCCGATGGAGAATTAAAAGGTTACAATCCGCGCCGGTCTATCGAAAAGCGGCGATTACTCCAGGGACACTTCTATGTATCCCGCACAGCTCGATATTGCTTCTATATCTTTCACAAAACACCATCCACTGATTGCCAGAGATATGTGGCTTATTCCTGTGCACAGTTCCGTTTCTATTTGCAGCCGCTCAAATGCACTCAAAACCTCAAACTGAAACCGCTTGGGCAAGCGCTGAAGCAAAGGATAGCGACAGGATATGAAGCCAGGACGCAACTGAACACACTGAACTAAATAAACGAGTGCGAAAGCGAAAGCAAAAGCGAACGCAAAAAGGACAATGACAAACGCCAACAACAATGCGAATTTGAGAGTGTGTGAGAGGGAGGACGACCGCTAAAGGATAACAGAAAAACAGAGAGAGAGAGAGAGAGAGCAGTGCAGTGGGAGAAAAGAAGAACGATTTGCAAAAGCTTTTGGGGGTTGTGTCTGCGCTAAGCTTTCAAGGGGTTAAATTTTGGGGTACAGCAACCACAGACAATCTGACAGATTCTCTAGGTACAGTCCGTTATTTTATGGGACTAAACTTCAGTTTTGAATTTTAAATATTTTTGTTAAACCATCCCGACCAGCGAGGAATCAATAACCTTAATAAAACACCTGCTCTTTAGTTACGACCACCACTTTATTTTCGTTTTGTGTTTTTGTAAGTTTAGTTCATTTTCATTAAGTTTGCTCAAATCATGTTCGATTAAATTACAAGTGCTTAACCTAAAAGTATGTATGTACGTATGTATGGACTAAAATAGTTAACAAAGTTTGGCAATCAGTTACAGTTAGTCAAAACGAGTTCAAAATCCATTACGCATGTACAACTAAAACAACAACAGGAAATCGAATAAGTTATAGTTATATAATTTCATAATTATACTGGTCTTCAGTATTCGTTTTTCATCATGTCCTGGGCCCAGTTTTGGCCAGATACGATTAGTAGAAATGCAACAATGTGTAAAGCGGCTGTAAAATAACCGCCACAACCAATAGAATATCACACCAAAAATGGCAGAGTACAACAGATTCAACAGAGATTGTAATCAGTGAGTGTGGAGAGTGGAGTGTGTGGAGTGTGTTTTTGTGAGGAGAAAACGTGTTCCGAGGGACGCGGACCTAACTAGCTTGGTAGGATGCGAAGGACCTGTTCCAGGATGCCCGGAGCAGGTCCTGCCGTGAGGTTCGTGCCTGTACAGTGTGCTCTCGCGGGTGTCCGGGGCGTGGGCTTTGGGTACAACATTCATAAAGTTTATCTACCTCGGCGCTACCTAAGTTGTCGTTGTCGTTTTGCTAGCTAACAAAAGTAACTGTGTATATATATGTATAAAATTACCAACAAATTCATAAATTATTGTTGTAATACGTTTAGAAAATAGTGTCCATATATATCATCATGCTGTCATCACACTTAACCTAATGCGTTTCGAAGAATTGACTACTATTAAATGGCAAAAGTGTGCCATAGTTTCTCTTTCCATATTTTCTCGTTTTTGTTTGGTTTTTGTTTTTTGTAGAATTTACTCGTAATTACATACACTTCACATACACATGCAATACACAATAATCATTGTAATTGTAATTACGTTAAATGTAACTGGTAACATCATGCTAAATACATTATTCCTCCATTAAAGACAGATTCCCCTTATCGGTATGAGCTAAAGTCCCCAAGAACCATTACATATTTTTCCCTCTGTCTCGTTTCATTACAGTTATCAGAGATTTGACTTCTAGCAAATACGTAATTTTTTAAAAATTATTTGGAGGGAATATTCATGATTTTTTCTTTTTTTCAAATATCGCTTACATTGATCGTTTCTTATCAAAGTGTGAGATGTTCAGAAAATATTTCGTTTGTCCATTGCATTGTTTGTGAGATTGTAAGTCTGGTAAAAACAATGAACAATGATGTCGAACGAAGGAGACGTTTTTCTGTTTCTGTTTCAGTTTCTGTTTCGGTTTTTCGTTGAAAGAAATGCATTATATGTGACGTTATTATTAAATATTATTAGGTACCAAAAAGTGTAAAGCAAGGTCGAAGTAATTCTGCGTTAAATAAAAGCATGTAAAATCGTTTAAATCTATTTTTGATCATCAGTTTACAACCATGAAAACATTTACGTTTACATTTACGCTTATTATGTACATATATAGATGTACCATAAAATATTCGTTCATATCAGAATATTAATATTAGCACTGTATAAATACATTTATATTTGTATTTTGTTTATGCGGTAATCGTGTGTGTAGTTCGTGTGTGTCTGCGAGTTAAATAGGTTTTACATGCTACGTACAATTTACGATCAACAAGAGGTTACAGCATCTCAACTAAATGCCATAAAGTAACAGTTTGCTTCTTTATAAAAGTGTTTCTTTGCATATTACAGTTAAAACTTACATCGTAGATTTGTGTAGTTCTTTGTATACGGTACTTAATCATAGCAGGGCCGATCTGCCCGACCTTTTCCGTCCTTATTTTCAGATGCAGACCGGGCATTTCGTTTAATACTGAGCGGTAAAGTTTGTCTCGCAGTAAATCGCTTTTTGTAGGTCAGATCGCGATCGATCCTCTTTCGGCACAGAAACGAAGGGTTTGTGGAATGCGTCCAAAGTAATATCTCATAATTTCGTATCGTTTTATTACTCGTCAGTCTAAATACTCTGAGATTCCGCATCGAAAGCAAAGATTCGAAAGAGGTGCCTCACAGAAGGTCCTGTGATCTGTCACTGCGATGACGCTTAAAATGTCCTCTTACTCGCTAAACAGGAATGCAAACATGCACTTTGTGTACACGAAGGTGTACGGACTATGTATACATATATATATATATATATTCTTGAATGGATCTCTCGATTCGGTTTAAATAAAATTGATATGTCTAATAGCTATTATCAATCGTTTTCAATTTCAAAAGGTTTTGTATTGTATTTCGAAGTAATTCTGTTGCGTTCTCTAACTTTAATATTCGGTTTTCTCCCAAATCGTCGGTATGACATTAATGGTAGTATGTGTATCTGTACGATTTACAAAATATTGCAAACAGATGCTGAGAAGAACTATATAGTGTCTTTGGATTGGAGTACAAATCGTATATACTGATGATTCGAGTGAATTCGACGCTTGAGCTAGAGTTAGTTTGGCTTTTGAGGAAATTGGCACCCCATGTGGGTCACCATCTATGTACAGGTTACATTTTTGAATACGTAGTTTATCTTACATTCGCTTAATGAACAATCACAACGCAGAGTATTCGAATAAAGTGTGAGTGAGGAGGAACCGCTGACGCAGAGCTCTCGCAGATGATTCCGGAAAATATAGTACGAGTATCGCGTGGAAACATAGTGAAAGTAGCACTCAATGTCACAGATTGTCCTTTTCTATTTTCTCGATCTTTGGTTAGTCTAGGAAAACAAAATAATAAAGAAAAACGCAAGACGGTCGGGTGAAAAATGAAACAGTTGAAATCATTTAATTGGCAAACGATAAACATTTTGGCACAGTAAATGAAACTTAAAACGAAATATAATAAATTAGGAGATATCTCTACTGCATTTGACTAGACGTTCGAGCAGCTGCTTAACTATAACTTCATTATTTTTCTTTGTCTTTAGGAAACTTTTCTGAAAAGCAGCAACAAAGTGCACACACATGTCAACTTAAGCTTACATTAGCCTAGATTTGAACACTTACTTAGGGATAAACACTCATTTGCGGATACTTTATTCAATAATACTTAAGACTTACGCTTGAAGGCATTTGAGCATAGAACAGAATCGAACAGAACAGAACAGAGTAGTTGGACCAACTCAGGCGGAAACGGAAACGGCGGAAACGAAGGTGGAAGTGGAAGCGGAAATGGAAGCGGAAGACGTGTAGAGAAAATGCACACAACAAAGGATGGCCATTACATGGATGGAAAGGGATTCACAGGACTCGATTATTTGTACGCGAGAAAGTCTTTAAACGGCTTCGAAGGCCCACATCGAACAGTTCTTGAAGGTGCTTTATGGTGGGTTGCTGTAGCTGTGGCTGTACTTTGTTTTTTGTTTGGTTTCTTGTATAACTGGCTTACGCTTATTGTATATAACACCGAAAAATATGCAGAAGTATGCTGTCCGTCAACTAAACCTATGACTATTGTATGGTTACTAATGCTATTGCGAACACAAGGACAGGAAATAGAACTGCAGGCTGGTGATGAGTCCGCCTTTCAAATGGGCTTCCTAAGTGTCGGGGATGATTTGTATATCTCTCTTTTATTTACAGCACCTGATTCGTAGTGTTTCGTATTGTACGATAGAAAAATTCACGCACACAACTGGCGAATACAACCATAAGAATTGCTAATAGTTTCCATCTTCCAAATTTCTGTCCGGATTCTCTCAGTGAAGTAGGATGTTTTGCAGTGGAAAGGGGCGGAAGGCATTAGACTAAACGTGAGTACTTAATTTGGTTTTCTGGTTTTAGCCCTGCATGCTTTGGTTTACATTAAACTAGATTAATTTACGCCATTGTCAATATAACATACCACCCGGCTTTTGGCCTCAAAAAGGTTGAATCAATCGATCGATTTGTTGTAGTACATTAGCTCACTGTCCAAATGGAAAACGTGTGATTCTTGTTGTTGTTCAAATTACTGGCAGATTTACTGTTGTACCATTTAATTTAATATATGCTTGTATATAATAACTATGTATACCCTAGGTCTATATAAAACTGCACTGAGAGTGTCTCTGTGTTTTCTGTTTTTTGGGTTTGGGGGTTTTTGGGTTCCGAATTCAGAGTTTGAACCCTCGTTGTCTGTGTTCGTGTGTGTTTCTGTGGCTTGTGGCTTGTGGAGAGGGGAACAAGGGGGATTGGGATCTAGAATTATAAATAGATTAATGTCTTTTATGCGTTTTGGAGAAATTTGAAAGATATCCTTCCTTATCGGTTAATTTGCTAGACTCTTATTTACAGTGTCTTACAACCTACAACTTGCGTTAAAAGTAAAGTTAAAACTTTCTCAACTGCCATTTACATTGGTGTGCATTGAATTTTGTTCACGTTTAGCTAAAATCGTTTTTGATCTCACTCAATATCACTTGATTTCACTAGATTTTCTCTTGGGTTTTATATTTTTTGTTTTCTTTTGTTTTTCGGTCTCTAAGCCATAGTTCAATAGTTCGGGTTTGTAGGTAGGTAAGTACGATCTAAGTAAAACTTCAACTACTCGGAGTTGGTGACTTGCGTCGTTAAAACTAGAACAACAATCATATATCGCATACATCGTACACCTAGGCATGTAATCATATCAAGTATGTATATATATATAGAGATTCTCTTACTTGCTACACATTTATCGCCCTAGTAAAGTATCAGTGTAGTGTGTTGTAACTATGTACGAGTATTTGAGTAGAAAAACTTGTAGTTAACAGTAATTATGCACTAGTGTTTATCATAGATCGGGGTTTCGCCGCAGCTTTAGCCATAGTTGTGCTATAGTTTTAGATTTAGATTTAGTTTTAGATTTAGGTTTAGAGTACATCTACAGTCGAGTCGAGCAGAATAAACGCCTACTATAAAAAACGGTAGGTATACACTTACATATTCGTATTCGTATTACTTCAACATAAATATTGCACTTGCCTACAATAGTCGATAACAATTCAATTTGAACTTGGGCCAATCCTTGGCTAGACTTAAACCTACAGCGAATCGCAGTGTCTTCTACTTAGGGCAAAGTTAGAGAAGTGATTGATAGAAAGAGAGAGAGAGAGTGGGGTTTAGGGGCTTGAGAGATAGAGATAGAGCTAGTGAAGAAATGCCTTTAACTACTACGTACACGTGACATTGATTTTTCGACTCAAATTCGTCTAAGCATAAATTCTAACAGTGGTAAACAATGCTTTGCTGCTTGCTTAATGCGATTGTCAATCGATTTTGTTTGTTTGCTACTATATATTCGCCATGCTGATTCGCAATCCTTATTCCTTATTCCTCCTCCAGATCGGTCGATCCCTATGAGGGTGCTATAATGGTTGATGAGGCGACGGTGGTCAATCCTGCAGCAGCCTGCTGGTTCAGCTGGTGTTTCTGATCCGGTTCCTGGACCCGGTGCGTCTTCATGTGCGCACTGCGACTCTTCACCTTATTGAAGACCCTGGCAGGAGAAACGAGAGAAGAGAGAAGACGGGGCACCATGAGAACACTTGGGTCTGCAGCCCCGATCTCGATCACTAGCAACTAGAATGCAGACTAGGCGGGTTAACTGGACATTTAGATATAATGAAGCACACAGAGTACAAATCGAATAGCACATGCATATAAAGTAGGATTATAGCTGGGCAGAGAGTCATGCAGAGATTCGAAAAAGACTTTCAGCTCGGTCTGGTTTTCGTTTTTTCATCAGTTCTTACTTAGCCTTGTGTGGAGTTAAAATTGCTTTGTTGTTATAAATAACTATGGAAAATAGAGAGTTTATGTTTAGGAGTTTAAAATAAAACGAACAAATTAGTGAATAAGTACATATATATCGTAAGGGAAACGGAAGAATTGAAATTCGGGGGTGCGCTTGAATGATACAGTCGCTCTTCGTATGTGATATTATATATTATTAGTATTATAATTTATTAAAAAACTTTAGATCCCTTGAACACCTTTTAAGTATTATATTATGATAGAGTTTTTGGTAATGAGTTAACTAGAATTTAATTTCTGATTCAGATAAGTTATAGATCACGTCGAAGGCGAGCTGTTCCAATTTACAAATGAAGGATCGAATAGGCTGTTTTGGGGGGGTGATCTATCGAATGTCCACCCGTGAATTATTTATAATATTTACAAAAGTCTTAAAATGCAGAGGCACTTAGCGCAGTGAGTAGGTAGGTTTATCGGAGATAAATTACACGAATAATACACGAAATTATAGAACAGAGAGCGAGTGAATGGAGTGTGAGAACGGAAGAGGGATATCGAAAGGAACCGAAAGGTGACTTGAATGGAAAAGAAGAGGTCCTACTTACCGAGGATTCGACCAGCGCGATGCTCTCGTGGACTTTTGGAGCTGATATCAGTTACGGTTACGTCTATTTGCGAGTTGTGACTCTTCGCTTTAAAATTGCAATTTCGATTTATTGATTTTGTATTCGTTATTTGATTTTGGTTTCGGTTTTCGATTTGATTTGATATTTGGGTTTCGCATGATGGAACAATACAATACAACAACAATAACAACAGTTAATATCGCTTGACGAAAACTCTAACTAAATGGCATAGAAGTCGGAAACTGACATACGAATCGAACTGAAGATTCACAAGAGGTAACTACACAAACTCAAGTCGTAGAAAGAAGTGGAAAGAGGGTAGCGATAAGTCAACTCAAAACGAACAATCGATAGGAAATCAGGAGTCATAATTTTCGAAAACGATAAGTACAGTGAACTCAAGATCTATCAACCAAGAACTCGTATGCGGCATACGATACACAAGTTATTTTACGGTACAGCGTGCTTTTACGATCTCAACTCAAGTCAATTACGGGCACTCAAATCGCTTGCGGATTTTCGAATTTTCATATGATTTTCACGTGTTTTTGTTTTTTGGTTTTTGTTTTGATTGGTGGAAATTGCTTTGGGGGAATCTTACTTGCCGCACACCTTGCAGGGGAACTCGCCCTCCTTGGGAAGCGGTAAGGTGCCACCGCCCAGTCCCACGTCCAATTTGGGCGTGCCCGAAAGCGCCGACGAAGTTGCCGTCGTTGCAATCTGATTGGTGTTGCAGTTGCCGCCGTTCTGAGCCAAGTTGCTGTTGTGTGTTGCTGCTGCCTGCGTGGCGTTGCATGTTGCGTTGTTGCTGTTGCTGCTGCCGCCGCCGGTTAGTGTTGCACATGCGTAGCTGCTGCTGTTGCCGTTGTTGCTGCTGCTGTTGTTGCTGTTCGTGTTGCCACTATTGGCCGTGGCGTGTTGCAGGTTGCTGCTGCTGCTGTTGTTCGTGTTGCTGTTGCCACTGCTGCTGCTGTTGTTGGTGTTGCTGCTGGCACTGCGACCGTAAGCGTGAATGCGGACATGGCCGTGCAGCGCTGCTTTCGAGCTGAAGCTCTACAGTTCGGTTCAGGCGGGGGTGGGCAAGATTTGGTTTACGAGCGGTTTGCGGTTTGCGATTTGCGAGCGTTATGTACAAGAAAGAAAGTAAACAGAGAGAGCCGAGGTCAGAGGTGAGGTGGGGGCAAGCTACTCGGGTTAGGCGGCAACTGCGTTTCGTGCTGCGGGCTGTGGGCTTTGGGGCATGCTGCTGCTGCTGCATCTACAACTAGGAACCTGCAACTTACCGCTGAACAGTCGGCGATCTCGCAGACGTAGGGCTTCTCCACGGCGGGTGTAATTACGACCACGGGCTCCATTTTCAGGTGCGACACCTTGTAGTCCACGCACAGCTTCTTCCAGAAGTAGTACATCTGCACGCACTCGCCGGAGGATTTTGTCTGGAGCTGAAAAAGAAAAAAAACACCCGAGGAAAAACCGACCAAACTTTTAGAGGTATGTATGCCACTTGAAAATCTGATTAAAATTGGAAAAGTTATGGACTTGGTAAAATGGTGCCTGTCATCCGTAGTTCACCCAATCTCAGCCACTTACCTCGCTGGCGATCTTGCCGAAGTCCTTGCCGTGCTTCTCCAGTCCCCGCAGGAACTGCTCCAACTCGTAGGCGGTCCACTTCATCTGGAAGGCGCCTGACTGGGTTTGGAGCAGACTCAGAACGGCCGCCGCCGAGTTGCCCTTAGCCTTGAGCAGCGTGTGGAGCGCCACCTCCTCGGAATGACTGCCCATGGGAACGGCCGAGGACTTGCTGAGATCAATGTAGCGCATCAGGATCTTGTCGTCCTCCTGCACCTCGGGATTCCACATCAGCTCGGCGCAGGGGGAATCCCTGACCGCCTCCTCCATCGGTCGACAGCTGGGAATCTGCGCCTGGTAGGTGGAACCCAGATTGACCTTGGACTCGTCCGAGAAGTCGACCAGTCCAACGGAATCCCCGAAGTCGTCGTCGAAGGCGTCGAACAATCCCTGACCGAGTTGCTTGCGCACATTGCAGTAGAGTCCGGTGCCCTTTCGATCCGGATTCAGGATGGGAGCAGGAGTGTAGTGGGTGCGGGATGGCTTGCGCAGCTTGGATCGATGCGGGGAGAGGGTGTGGAACTTGGAGAACTTGTGCGTCTCCTGGGGGGCATTGCTGCGCAGTCGGCGCTTCAGAATGGAATTGGTTTGGTTCGACAGCGGCTGCAGATTGGCCACGCTCGGCGGATTGGCCAGAGGTTTATTAACCACTCCTCCTCCTCCCGTTGCTGCTGCTATTGTTGTTGTTGTGTTGCCACAGGCAAACAGCAGACTGGCATCGATTTGGCCTTGATTGGCATTCATTTGGCAATCGGTGGCGGTGAGCAGAGTGGTGGTTTCATTGCCCCCGCCTGCGGCGCTGCCATTAGATGTGGTTGCCCCGCCGAAGAGCAGTGGTTGCAGCAGGCTGTTGAGGGGCTGCATCCCCTGCATTCCCCCCTGTCCCCCGCTGTCCATGTACTGGGTTTGGCTGGCCACTTGGGTGAACCCATGGCCACCCACGAGGGGCATCATGAAGTCACCCTGCTGCTGCTGCTGCTGACCCACCGCTGGCAGGGATTCAGATTGGTTGAGTGCCTGTTGGGGCATTAGCAATTGCTGTTGCTGTTGCTGATGTTGCTGTTGCGGTTGCTCCTGCTGCGATTGCTGCTGCTGCTGCTGCTCCTGTTGTTGCTGCTGCTGCTGTTGTTCTTGCTGCTGCTGGTAGAGGTTGCTGTTGTTCTGAAGTTGCTGTTCCAGAGGTTGCTGCATGGAGGTGGCCTGGAGTCCCAACTGCTGCCTCTGCTGGCCAAAATCGCGAGGGGAGGAGGAGAGCAAGGGGTCCTCTGAATTGGACATCATCTGGGATTGCAAACCCAATCCGGGAAGATAGTAGAGATCGATGATGTTCTCGCCCTGCTGCTCGCTGGTAAGTTGCAGTTGCATATTCTCATCCGGAAGGACTTCCCTTAGAACCTGCTTAACATCCTCCGCAGAACCAATGCCGCTGGTGAAGAAGGATTCCGAGAGCGGGGAGGTGGCATTCCTGGAGTCATTCAAAAACTCCTGATCTTCATCCAGAAAAGAGAGATTCGTCTCTGCAAACTCCCGCAAATCGCACTCCGTGTCATCATCTGCGCCATTTAATAAATCTTCTACTTTAATTGAAGGATCAAAGGTGCTCTCCTCCAGCACGGACTTCAGTTTCAGGATCTTCTCGTTGTCGTGCTCGTTCATCTGCTCAATGGTGGCCTCGCCCTCATCCGTCTTGAAGTAGATGTGCGAGAAATCGGTCTTATCCCCGAAGAAGGTGTTGCTGGCATCCACGAACTGGGCGGCCGCATCCTCGATGAACGGGGAACTCTGGGCCATGTTCTCGTGACTCGAGGGAGGAGTGGGATAAGCGAGGGGGAGAGTGGAGCGGCGAAGCCAGGACTCCGCTTCCCCGCATGCTGGCTATCGCCTGGATCTGCGAGCTGTTCTGCATGATCAGCTCCTTGGAATGGAATTGCTGGAAGGTGGGCAGCGGCGTGGTGTTCGCACTGGATCCGTTTCCATTTCCGGTTCCGTTTCCGCCTCCGGAGTTGACCTGCTCCGGCTCCAGCTTCACCAGCTGGGTGTGCGCACTGTCGCCCGCTTCGCTCAGCAGGGCAAAGTCCTCGGAATGTTCGCTCTTGATCTGCGGCTCGTCCTCCTCGTCGTTGAGCAGCTCCATGGAGTCCACTGTTTGCAGCAGCATCTCGGTATCCGAAACGTTGTACACCTCCGCGTCGTCGAAGAGATCGGTGCCATCACTGGTGTAGGTCACCGTGTAGACTCCTCCCTCCCCGCCGCTGATCACATTCCCCGTTCCGGAGGATCCTGCTCCTCCGGCTTGGAGCTCCTGGTTGGGAGCGATTGTCAGGGAGAGCGGGGTGCCATCCGCCAGGGAGAGATTTCCCGAGGAACTGCTGGTGATGTTACCCTTCACCAAACCACTCAAGCTGCTCAGCTTGCTCTTGGTGGACACCACCTGAACATCGGAGGGGATGATCACCGTCCTGTTGTTGTTGGTTATGATCTGCCTTCCGACGGTCTGCACACCACTGTTACCCAAAGTGGTCAACTCATTTGTGGTCGTTCCACTGGAGGTCATCATTAAACCAGAGCCAGTTTGTCCTTGGGATTGGTTTTTCTTAGAGGTGACCGCAATGCGAGTTCCCCTCTTCAGAAGTTCAATGAGGGTGGAGTCCTTGGGATCCGTGTTGGTGGCCGTGGATATCCCGCTGATGGTGCCTCCTGCTTTAAGAGCTGTGAGAGCACTCATTGTCGTGGTGGTGGGCACGTTGTTGGTGGTAATGGTGATCGTATTGGTTCCCGTGCCCAGATTGAGGGTCTTCGCCTGCTTCTGACCTCCGCTGAAGATCTCGATGCTCTGGGGCAGGCCAATCTGCTGAATGCTCAGCCCGTTGCTGCTCTTTATGGTGGTGGCCGCCGGGAGAACCGCCGTCGTGGTGCCCGTGCTGGTGGTCATCGTCTGGGTGTGACTGCTGGTGCTCGTCTTCGGGTTGAGGAAGCTCTCCAGATCGCTGATCGATCGACGCAGGGTGGTGGTGGCGCCACTACTGTGCGGCGGTGCAGGAACCACAAAGGAACCCTGAAGAAGGTAATAATTAAATAGTTAGTATAAGTTTGTGTGAAAGGAAAACCCCAAGCGTTTGGTGACCCCGATTTCTACAAGCCCTTACATAGTATAAATTATAATTATATAGTAAGTATACTTGATTACTGATTACTGATTACTGATTACTGATATGAACTAAATAGTAAATAAATGGAAAGTATTTGTCGTGTTAGCAGAATATCTAGTGTTTAAGCATTTGGTGACCCCGATTTCTTCTTTCACCCCCTTTACCCACCTTAGTCATGTCCTTGCGCTTGCTGATGATCTTCTCCTCGATGAGAGCTCTCACTCCAATGCTGGCCGTCTGCAAGGGGGGGACCACTGGAGTCCTTCTTCTCGCTTCGCTTGGTTTCCGGATCCTTTTTGTAGTAGCCGCCATGCAGACGCATGTGCCCATTGAGGGCGGGTATGTTTTTGAACTTTCGGTGACAGAGATTGCACTCGACCGGTTTGTCGAGCTTGACGATGTTGAGCAGGTGGGAATTCATGGTGCCCACGAGCTGTGGACTCAGCTCCTCCTCCTTCACTTCCACGGGAGAATTCGAGGAGGGAGCCACCAGTTCGGAGTTGTCCTCCACGGTGACAGTCACATTCTGTGCACTATTTAACTATTAAAAGGAGAATTATTATTACATATGGTTATATTTAATATTTATTTTGTTATTTACCAATTGCATGTTCCAGGTGCGCGGTCTGTTCTGCGAGGACGAGGAGTTCGTGTTGATCTTGTAGGAGCTGACACTGGTGGGCGAGGAGACGGTGACCTGGGCACTCGTCTGCTTCGTTTGCTGCATAATCTTGCTGATGAGATCCAACTGCTCGCGGGTGAGGCCCTCGCCCTCGAGACTCATTCCATCGCTGAGAGTGATGGTGGGCGAACTGGAGGCCATCACCTGACTGTTGCTGGATGGCGAGGGGGCCATCGCCACTGACCCCGAACCCGAACCCGAAACTGATCCCGAAACCGATCCCGAACCAGATCCCGCCGAGGAAAGCGACGAGCTGGCAGACGAGGAGGCATTCGAAGAGGCATTCGAGGAGGTCGAGGTGGTGGGCGAGAGCAGAGTGACGCCCGTCTTGATGGGCAGGTTCATGGCCTTGATCTGCTCCTCCGACAGAGCGATCCCGGTGGCCGCATCCACCACCGAGCTGCCGGTGGAGATGTACGTCCGGATGCAGGTTGCTCCGTCCGGGGAACTGGCATCACCACTCGCCGTGGCTGGGGAGAGACTCAGCGAGCTGGTGGCCACACTGGTGCCACTCGAACTGGCGGTGGGCGATAGGGACTGGCTGGTGGTGGGCGTGGCTGCACCGCCCGCATGGTGGTTCTCCGAGTGGCGCCTCAGGGATCTGGCATCGCAGTAGGACTTGCCGCACCCGTCCGCCTTACACTCGTAAGGCTTCTTGTTCCGATGAGTCATCATGTGTCCGTTTCTAGAGGGGATTAGAGATAAAAGAGTGACTTGGATGGTGCGCCTCATTTACTCACAAGTGATCTTGCCGCTTGAATGCCTTCGAGCAGAGCGCACAGATGTATTTCCGCTCGTCGCTGTGCGTCAGTTTGTGCTTGGCCAGCGCCGAGGCATTTCCAAAGATCTTGCAACAAATCTATAAAAAGTCCCAGAGAAATGTAATTAGCGTTGGCTCTTCTGTCGGCTGCCCTCTAGATAATTGAAAGCGCTGCCGTTCGTTCGAACGTTTTAATGAGCCACATTGCGTATACGTTATGTTGTGTTTTCTGTTTCGTTTTTTTTTCTTTTGGCCACCAGCACACACCGCATGCTAATTACGACCGACGAATTCCAAAAAAACCAAAAGCTAGGCCACATCCATACCCGAAAACTATCTGCAGGAACATGTGTGTGTGTTAGAGTGTGTGCATGTGTGTGTTGTTGTTGTTTTTGATTGCCTGCAGCAGGAGTGGAATTCCCCGATGCTGACCAAACATCGCCCCCCCTGACATCCGCAGTATCGTAAAACGCGTCATAAAATGTACTTTACCGCCGTACTCTGAACTAGAAGCGCAAAAAGCGAACAAAATAAAGGAGGACTTGGAGCAAAGGCACTTTGAGCGGCTGTCAGTTTTATTGACAGACGTCGAGACGTGTTGAATGCCCGCGGCGAGAGCTGTTCGAAAGCGAGCTCCTGAATTCACATTCACATTCACTCGGGCAAAAAAGAGCTCTAAAATGAATTATTCACTTTCGAAATCAAGAACTAAAAAGAAGCGCTGTTCTGCAGATAAAAGGTATTCTATTTTCTCTAAAATGTATGTTGAAATGTTGTGGAAATTTCCACCAAAGCAAAAACATTCATTAGAAGTAGCAAAAAAAAATGATATGTATGAGTTTGGCTATAATTTTTCCATGAAATGCATTCCTATTTGAAACAATAATCTAATTATATAATAAATATTAAATATACATATATTAAATTTCTCATTTCTGCTAATGAGAACAATCTAGCTAATTGCATTTCCCGCAGTGCATCAACTTTGTTCAAAGAGTTCCGTGGAAATGAGCTCCACCCTTTGATGGTCTTCCCACAATTCCCGAATTCCCGAATTCATTTCACATGCTGCAGATTCCCGAGTAGACGGGCTCTACGCTCAATTAGCGCCGTGTATAAACACAACCGACTACGGCCGTAATATTAGTTCCAAGTGGCCAGTCCGTCGGACTTTAACGAGCGGCAGGGGGAGGCTGCATCTCCCCATTGGTGGGTGGAGGGTGGAGGAAGGGGCGATGGCACTTTGGGAACTGGGCGCGTTTCACCTGCCACTCGAACGAGGAGACGACCTTAATGTCCGTTTATAAATATTGCACGACTGCTGGCCGTCTGTGCGACATGTTGGCTCAGAACGAGCGGCGATAAATTGGCGATTAGGCCACGGATGAGCATAAGTGTACTGCCATACAGCCAACTCAAAAAAGAAAATCCGCTGCGGAATTTCATTCGCATACGCACCTGACACTGCTGCGGTCCGTGACGCGTTGGCGATGATAATTTGGGTCGATTCTTGCGCGGCGCTTCAACGCTGATGATGCCACCAATACTAGTACTAGAAGTACCGCTATTTGTACCGCTTGTGGCTGCCGCCGATGCACCGATCAATCCAGTTGAGGGGACATGCCGCCCGGTGCCCTTGAAACTCAAGCTGTGTCCACCTCCTCCTCCTCCGCCGCCGCCGCCGCTGCTGCTGTTGCTGCTGTCGTTGCTGTTGCTGCAGTTGCTGTTGCTGCTGTTGCTGTTGCTACTGTTGCTGCCACTGCTGTTGCTGTTGCTGTTGCTGCCGCTGCTGCTGTTGCTGCCGACACTGATGCTGCTGCCCACCGAGGAGGCGGTGCTGAAGTTGCTGCTGTTGCTGCAGTTGCTGTTGTTGTTGTGCTGATTGAGTAAACTGGCCGCGCTGCTCGTGCTGCTGTTGCTCATAATCTGCGCCAATGTGGTGACATTGGTGACCGTGTTGCTGCAGCTGCTGCTGCGGATCAAGCAGTTCTTGATGTAGCTGGTGTTCGTCTTGCCACTGCTGCTGCTGATACTCGAACTGGTCGAGGTGCTGACCGACTGGACACTCCTCCTGGTTATGGTTATCTTATTGGGGTTACTCAGATGATTGCTGCCCGCCGACTTGGCCGAGCTATTGCTTGAAGTTGCTGCTGTGATTGAGTTGTTGTTCTTGAGAGCTGTAAAGGATAAAGCAGAGATTAGATCTCTTTGAAGTGGGATAACTGAGTAATTGAAGAACAACCCATACCTCTATTATCAAAAGACACCCATCATTACAGAAATAAAAATACATTCCCAGACGAATTATTAATATAGCGACACTTTAAGTGCTTGTAGCTAATTCACTTAGCCGTATAAATCAAATCAAAAATAAATTCGTATCTTTAATAGTTTGCGCATCAAAAAGGGGAAACTCATTTCTTATGACATTAATGACATCAATTCATAAATAACAAACAGAACTGCCGGGTGTATGATGAATGCTATAGTTTACTTACAGGCTGTCTGAATTGTGCCCAAGACATCTGCCAACATTTCCGGATCCGGATAGCCGATGGTCAGCGCATTCTCTAGCGTTGACGCTGGTGCACCGGCAGCGGCGCCATTTGGTGACGTCGTCGATGAGACGGCTGATGTCGCTGATTTCGTGGCCGCCGCCTCCAAGGCGTTCGCATCCCGCAGTTGCAGAGTCACGGATCCTTCGCTCCCCACGGAGGCGCTGCACATCAACACGCGCGGCGCGCTGCTGAGAGTCGTCAGTGGCAGGTGGATGCTCTTCGGGACCTGCGGGCGGTGCAAATGCAGAATGGCATTTGAATGGTTATTCATAAACGGGAGCATTCGGGGATTTTGGGGAGAGGGTAAAGGGGGAGCAGAGGGCCAGAAATCACTGCCAAAAGGCGAGCTGCGATGGCTGTCAGGCGAGATTAGTCGAGATTATTGATAATTCACGGCAACTGTCGCCTAATGGACGACGCGTCGCATAATTAATAGAATTTAAATGCATTTCACTTTGTGTCCGACAAGTGACTACTGCCCCACTTCCCCTCAAATAATTGCCTCTCCTGGGCCCTCATTTCATTGTACTTTAAATAAACTAACTTCAAGTTGCAGAGCCAACAACTTTTTAAAATTAAAAACCAAATTAGGAACTTAAAATTCCTGTTTCGCTATCTATTAAAGTTTATTTTAAATTATAGAATACATTCGTTTATTTTACATAAATTTATATTAATTATAGAATTCTTTTGTACTATTTCATTTAAATTTATGGTAATAGTTTTCCCTGAGTGTAGTACTTTTGGCACTTGCAAAACAATGCTGTATTTTAGTCAGTCATTAATTTGCCCCGTCTTCTTGGCAGCCCCTCGACATATATTAATTTAAATGCAATAGAAGTGCAGTCATAAATTGGCCACTGGGGAAAGAAACAGGGTCGCAGGGGAGTCCGTTTTTAGATGTGGCAATTAATGCTTTATAAACCGCAGCCAATGCCCAATTAATGCGGTCTGCAATTGCCCATAGCCACAAAACAAAACGAGAATAAAAATAAATAGAGAGACCAGGGCATAAATTTCCAAAAGTGCCTGCGACGCTGACCACAATTGAAACAAAACAAAAAATAACAAAAACACAGTGAACACTGTGAGTACTGAAAACCCGGAGCGAAGACACTGGCATAAATTCGCTTCGGACGCATAAAATTTCACGTTAAATAAATAAACAGCCATTTTATTATTGTTTAAGTTGTGGCAAAAAAAAACACGGCTAGCTAAATGAAAAAGTTCTCTCAATCAAGCGAACTGGAAATGGAAATGGGAATGGAAATGAAGCCACAAGTGGCACGCCCCCGCAATAATGCTCTCCGCAAAACAAATTGTTTATTTAAATATGCCAGTGGGCTATGAGATATATATGGGCAGGGGCCGTTAGAAGAAGTAAATTAGATTTATGTTTAACACTTGTTTTGATAACCTTGTCGCTGCTTTTGAATCACCAACAAAAATCAAAGAAAAAAGTTCTGGGAAATGCTCGACTTTCAAGCAGCGAAAATTCCCTTTAAACTTTTACCTTTAAGGAAAGATTGTCTATCTTGCTCTCCAATCAAATGGATTCATAAATTACATTCACGCTAAATCAATTCGGGTATCAAGTAATTATATGTTTGCTCTCTTGCACAGGCGAAAAGATTTACGAGCCTCGTCTGTTAGAAAATCCCCATGTCTGTCTGGCTGGCAAAAGGCTGTCAAATCGGAAAGGTGAGAGGTGTGAAAGGGGGTGGGAAAAGAGGGTGGGGAGGGGGATGGGGGTCATATATCCTGTTGCGACATGGCCCACACCAATTGCCCATTCCCCCCTGAAAAACTCTCGGATGGGTGGGCATATTTTTACGGCGTGATTCACGTGTCAATCAAACGTCAATGTCACTCAAAAAAAAAAGGCCCAGAAAAAAAGAAATCGCTGGCGAAGAGTGTATGTTATGAATGAGCAAGTTTGCCGGCGGTGTTGCAGGAAAAGTTTGGCGCTGCCAAAATCAAATTTCCATTGCAGCAGCCAGACTTTGGGCCAGTTTGATGGCCAGATTCGAATTTGGCAAGGTCTCGGCTCCTGTCCGTCCATCTTCTTCTTCTTTTTTTTTTCTGCCGATATGTTAATGAAAATTTTGAGATGATGTCGGCGCAAAATTGAATATGCTGGGCGGCAATTTGTCATCGGGCTTTTCTCGTCGTCTCCTGCCTGCTTATTAGTAAAATGAGCTGAAACACATGTTTGTGCAAGGGCTGAGAAAAGCCGCCTTCGTCATCATCAACAACAGATTCATCATCGGGTAACGCGGTCGGTCGGTCGGTCGGTCGGTCGGTCGGTCATATGGCCCCAAATCTGTCCGCTTTCCCGTGTTCCTCAATTTTCAATTTTGTTTATGATTGCGCCTTCAAAGACACACGGGTATCAGCTGGCGTCCCACATGCCGTATGCGTAATATCACAAGTTTAATCATTTAAAAAATTGGTTTTTAAACGTTTTATGACATCAACATTGTTTTCCACGCAAGTTTCGTGTTTATGGAAATTTATAGATAGTTCTGCAGGGGAAATAATATATTGTCTTTATAGATTGCTAGTTGATTTTCTATTTAAATGTAAAGTTTTACCCTGCCCGTTTTTCTCTGTGTGGATTAATAGCAAAGGAGACACAGCAGACAATAAGTTATTCGAAAGTTCTGCAAGTAATACTTTACGATTGACTCATTTATGACCGTAAATATTCGAGTAAGTCGGTAAGCAAGTTTGAGAGTTTGGAAACTTTGCCTTCGGGCAGTTAACTTATAAATATTCAATGGCTCAGAAATGAAACATTGTTTGAATGTGTCAGAAACAAGTTGCCTGGCTGTAAATATTAATATATATCGGCATGTGCCATATATAATGTATGGCTATGATGGATTGCACACGATTGTGGTTTCTTTTTTCTTCGTTGCGCCCATAATTGTTATTTCTCTGGCGTTGATTTATATATATTTTTTCAATTTTTTTCACTTTTTTTTGGATGTCGATGTCGCGTACTTACCGTATTTATGGCAGCCATCGTCGCAATTGACGCCGTCGATGAGGTTCTTGTTGTTGATTTTGTTGTTGTTGTTGGTGCTTGTACTGGTTGTTGTTGTTGTTGTTGTAGTTGTGGTGGTAGTGGTGGTGGTGATGATGGGGATACAAAATCAAAAATCTGAAAAAAGTTTTGTATGATTGAACATATTCGAATTCGTAGCTGCTTCTCTTATTTTCTTTCGTTTCTTTGCGATTTCTTTTTTCTCTTCTTTTTTTTTTTTTTTTTGGGTGACATAAAAACGTGAAGAGGAACCAAAGAGCAAATAAATCTGAAAATTTATGCATAAAAATGTGCACATAAAACGAAGTGAAATCAAGAAACCAAAACACATGCATATACAAAAAGGCGACACACTGGCACACTCGTATCGTATCGGAAAAATCGCAAATGGATGTAACACGATGCAAAACAACACAATCGAATGTATGGGAAAACTCGCATCGGTTGGGGAAAACTTCTCGAGAATGAGGGGGAAATGGCGGTTAGTCTTAGTTATTGGCTGAGCGATGTGATGACTGACTGACTGACTGATTGACTGATTGACTGACTGACTGACTGATCATCCAGCTGATCGGTCAACGGGGCATTAGCTTGTCGGCAGGATTAGCGAACAAAAAAATATGGCATTGAAATATGTTTTAGCTTAAGAGTTTGCGGGATTTCTTGCTAATCCGCAAATAAAAGTTATACTAAGAAAGCGGGCTTCATATATTTTATTTTTTTTACTTTGCACAACAGTTTGTTATTTCTAAATTTACAATTTGTTTCCTTAAAGAGCGGCAGGTTACAATAAGTTCATCGGTATATTTTGTTTTTTGCTTCGAGTTGCAGCATTGAAAATTTCAATTATTCTATGCACTCGCTTCTTTTGCATTTTTGGCGAATTTCCCTCTATCGATACGCCATCCTCTTCCAATTTTTTTTACTTTGTAACGCTGTCGATCTCGTTGTCGTTGTTGTCGTTGTTTTTGTCGATGTCAGTGTCTTCGTGCTGTCTCATGAAATCTTATTTTGGTACACAATGGTCTTTGTCCGTCAGCGTGCCTGCTTATTTTTGTTTTTAGTTATTTAATTACAATTTTCTATAGTTTTATTTTTAATTTAATTCATGTTTGGCTTGCGTCCCACCCGTTTCGGCAACGCTTGGCGAAACATGCGCCACAAATGCCGCAAAAAGCTAGGCAAAAAGATTGGCAAAGATGACAAATCTTTATTGGACATTGTGCATCATTCGAATACTCTATGTTATTTTGGCTTAATTGCTATGATGCAATAAGTGTAAGGAAACAATTTCCGACTTGTAAATTGTGTTGTAATTAATTATAATTTATTTAGCACTCATGTGTTTCTAAAACATGATTGAGTAAACATATTAAAAACGAAGAAACCAAAAATGCTGCGGATTAAATACACCTTTTGTCCATTAGCTTTTATTTATTTGTGGACCCCAATAACCTGAAAGGGCAAGGTTCCAGTTCTGTTTTCAGACGGGTGACGAAACCCACTCATTCTAGACAATAAGTAGAGCATTCTGAAAACGATTGCGAAATCAGAAGACGAAACAGATACAGAGACACACGAGCGTCATCGAAAGGCGCAGTTGGCCAAGGGAACTTTTCGGCTTCTAGGTATCTGGCTATCTGGTGATCCAAAGGGGGGAACTGCAGAGTGCGGGGTGCCACACGTTCTTACACATGTTGTTGGGCATCAGACGCACAGTGGCGCAGTACAGTACAGTGTGCGACATGACTGAGGGAATGACCAGGGGAACGGATGGCGGGATTGGACTCAAAACGCAACAGGCGGGGGGATGCCAAATGCATCAGATGCCTCTTGCATCTGCCTTCGGATTTGGTCTGCCTTTTGGATATTTGCAGCCAGCTCGCATTGCACTTCCTAAGCAACTTCGACAGCCAGTGCACAGGGGGAAATTTCATTTAATTATGAAACTATTTAATATTCATTTAGAAGAGTGGAAATAGAAACGGAAAGGTCTGCTTTTAATTTGATGCATTTGTACAACTAAACTGTGAGCCTTATTCCGTAAAGGTAATATAAGTTTTAAAAAGAATTCCAAAGGTTGAAAGACAAACTCAGTTTACTCTACATACCAACTAATAATATTGATACGATTTATTTTTCTAGTTTATTTCCAAGTAATATGTCTCCAAGCTTTCCAGATAATTTACCCTTTTTTTATAAGTGTGCGGTTAATGTGATGGCCAAGTCAAAGCATTCGAGTATCTGTATCTTGCCAAAGCGCTTGTTGATTTTAATTAAAAATATTTATGCACATCGGCTCCGCACAGTGGGACTATGGTACTGGCACAGTGGGTCGTCGCGGCTTGTTCGTGTTTGGCCGTAAGCGTGCGGAATGTTGTCGAGCGCGACGACAATTTGTTTCGGAAAATCGTTGGCACAGCGCCCAGTAAAACACACTAATGAAGAAAGCCAAGGCGCTACACAACACCACCAACACCACCAGCACCACCAGCAGTAGCACCACCACCAGCACCACCGGCAGAAATGGCGATAAAAATGACCACAATAAACAGGGTAGAAGAAACAAAAGTTGGCCCCCGAATTCCATGGAAAGCCCTCCTATAATTTTATAATATTTTGATCGTCCGTTTTTATAGTTCTCTAGTGTTTATATCTTTTACTTTGACCGCCTCCATAGCTCAAATGGTTTGTTTTTCGTCTGCTCACACTCCGATTATCAAAAGCATATAGCGCATACGCCCCGCTGGCCATGTCAACAGCATCATCATCCAAACAAGAAACCCCCATAAAAATAATATTAATAACTATGCGCAAAATTAGACGGCAAACATATAAACACACTCGAGTTTTCAATGTTAGACCACAGCCTAAAAATAATCGTGTGTAAAATGCTAAATGCTAAAGACAGATCGAAAGCGGCAGGCCTCTGCCAAGGTGAGTGTGGAATCGGTGATTCTGAATTGTGAACTGTGGAGCGTGGAGCGTGGTGGGTATTTCATATCAGAATCAAATTAAAATCATTCGCGCACAGCGAGAATAAACAGATATAGCACTCTTCTGTTATCGCACATCCGCATCGATATGAGCATATACCCCCGAAATGCGTATATTCGCCAATAAAGATGTATACTTAATTTGATGTTGCTGCTGTTATTTGCTGTTTGCCGTTTGTTTGTTTGTGTGCCAGCTAATTTCTGCCGTTTGATTTTCCGCTTAATAAACAGCGTCGGTGGACAATGGCCACCACCTCCGCCATCCTCCGCCTCCATCGTCTTCTGTTTTTATTTTTTGGCGAATACTTCAATTTTGGCTTTAGTGCCAATTAAACAGCTGCGCGCCGATCGCTCGATAATTGCCACACGTGCGAGGGGGACACCAAAGGGGGTTGGAGGGGAAGGTCTGCCGCCTTGATTTACATTTCAATTTAATTATCGAACACTTTGCCTAATGAGAACGCGCCACCCGTAAACATTTCCCCCGCTTTTCCGGAGGAGAGGCAACCCTCCGCTGCTTTTATTTATAATTTTTATTGCACATAATGCTTAAATGGCTTTTGAGAGTTGCATTTTGTTTCGTACTCCCCGCTGAATTGGGTTAATAGTCAGTGCGGAGTGTGTGGTGGCATTCCTTTATTTCGACTCTGGTTTAATGGCCCGGAATACAAAGTTTTAAGTTCTCTGACTTCCGACTAAAATTTTAACATATTTGGGCCACAAAAGGAGAATGTAGTTAAGCTGTTTTACTTTGTATGTAAACATAAATTCTGAATAAATTTGTAAACGAAATGGTATTGTTTTGAACTGAAATATCATAAATACAAGGCCCTTGAGATGCTTGTCGCTGATTTCCTATTTTTCAACTTTAATGAAAGACACTGCTAAAATTAGAAAGACGCGAGAATAATGCTGCACTCTGGTGCATTTGAGTTAAAGGCATTAAAATTAATCACATTTTGATGACATATCATTCGAGGAATGTTCACGGATACTGGCGATTGTATCTGCGGCCTGCACACACAGACACCGATCGCATTTGATTCGCTATATAAATAACACTAGTTGCTTGGCACAGTAAGCGAGCATTAATTTAATGCAGCAAAAACGACAGTTTTTGTCGGGCGGACAATACGATGAAATGCCTCAAAATAAAGTCAGAATCGCCGAATATTCAAATTCTTGGTGAGAGCAATCAAATTAGTCACACGGCCAGTGCCAACAATGGGAGGCCCAAGCCAAAAAACCCGACTAATGCAGGCGATTAATCCGGCGGATTCGGTGGATTCAGGAGGGGGAATCTAGGGATCGGAGGGATCGGAGGGTTCCACTCTGGGACGGAGCTACTTAAGATGACAATCCCGACGGTGACTGAAAGGCAGCCCAAAACGCCAGGCATAAATCTCAAACAGAGCGACTGTGTGTGTGTGTGTGTGTGTGTATGGGTAAATAAAATATGTTAATTAAATAAAGATGCGCACACCCATTGGCATCCATGGGAAAGTGCAGACGCAGACGCGAAAACTGTGACGCCGGCCAGCCAAGCGAAATCTTGGCCACAACGGACACGCCTCTTGAGAGACGGACGGCCAAGACGGCGGCGACAATGCTGCACTTTTGGCAGAATCAAAAAAACCGAAACAGAAACAGAAACAAATACAGCAAAAGGCAAAACCCAGCCCAAGCAGACCAACCCGAAAGGCGACCAAGGAATCGCATGCATTATTCACGGCGAGAAATGTCGAAATAAAACGCCAAGTTTTGCAATACGAAGCATTACATGTGCTCATCATTAGAAAGATGCCATACTATAAAGGCACTGCGAGAAAAAACCGAACCGAAATCTATTTTATTTCTGAAGAATAGTAAAAATATTCATTAGAAAGGGTATCAATTGTCGAGTCGATGGCCACAGTAGCTAGTTACTCCTTTCCCTAAATTAGTTATTATATTGTACATGCGATTTAGGTATAATAGCTAACACTGAAATAAATAAATAAAATACATTAGAAAGACTTGAATTGTCTGCACCTTTGTGTTTTTAGTTAATGATACATGTTTGTAAGCTATAAGGTAT